AAAAAAGACATATGAATGATTTTGAACCATGAATAATTAAAACCATAAAGTAAAAGTAACTAACAATAAGCATGTAAAAATGCAGATCTAAAAACAATAATTATCATGATTATGCCAAACATTCAGTTTACAGTCTTTGGTCAACAATATGTTCTCTAAAGATATTTCATCGAAATATTGGTTTGCATTTTTCTTTCACCTACCAGTGTTAATAATTTGAAGCATTGAGCCAGCTGAAATATTAGCTACAATACTAAGGTCTTACAAAGGCAAGAATGTACTTTACACTATACCCGTAAATTAGTTACAAATGTGTCTTATATTTATGTTCATATATAATAGGCTAAGAATTTAGTATAGGAAGATCATTGCATTAAGAAATCAGTTACATCAATCTTGATATTAATGGATATTTTATGTTAAATCTCTCTAAAAAATAACTTAATACTTTTTTAAATATTTATGGTTTTCATACCTGTTATGTTGTACTCTGGAGTTTACTGAAACAATTTTTAAAAAGAAACGGCTGGTAGTAAATTTCGTTAAGGAAACAATTGCATTCGTTTTCATAGCAATTATGCTGTGTATACATCATAAATAAAGGTTAGACTTTATATTGCAAAATAATAAAATAGTTTTAGTTGTACATAAATGTTTCAGAATCCTACACGATCTATATTAAAAGATTCAATTGTGATATTAGTTTATCAAACCGAATAATAATAAATTAAATACATGTTAATTGAATAACGACATGAAAGAAATTATTGAAAATCAACATACCTTCAAGAGAATGATAAGTTCCCCTGATTTCAGTATCTGTAATGTTTTGAAGTTGCTCGTAGGTATCCCTAATATTAATGATTTTCAAAACGAGTTAAACTTCAATGCCAAAGTTATCAATTTAAGCGTTGTAGTCAAAGGGCGAATGATATTAATTGATGGTATGCACCAACTAGGCCTCTCCCTAGCTTTGCCTTTTTTATTTTTTGAACTGATCTTTCATATGATTATGACATACATGTATGATAAAATCGTGATTTTCGAAACGAAATACACTTGACAATGTTATGTTTTATCAAGAAAACATTTAAAACGTTCGTAACTTACAGAGCAGTTGGTGGTCCAGTTAATTCTATGTCACGAGAAACTGTCTGCTGAGGTTTCGAGCCTGTGTTATCAAAAAGCATAGGACATGTAAAGCATTTAAATACTAAGCTGTTATTGCGTCTAAAATTAAATAAACTAATGAACGTTCAAAACCACATATGCATGCAAAATATATTGTTTTTAACATATATTAGAGACCAACCTTTATAAGCTATGTTTGATAAAAGTAGAATTGTTACCACTTAAAACGGTAAGTAATTCATAGAATAACATATTATGTTGTTCTCAATTTGTTTTACATCATAACAAAATCAAACTTTTTATTGCTATATGGTTTACACCATTTCTGCAAAAATAATCATAATAAAACAAATCAATCGTTATAACTACATAATTTAAAGACATCACACGCTTTCGTCTGCATTTAGTGACTTATTAAAAAAAAACAGCAAACGAAAGGAAACTACTCCTTAGGTAAAAGCGTAAGCATCCTCTTAAAAGATCTAAACTAATACAGTGTTCAAATATGGTTGTATGTTTTACCGATAACTATCAGTCTATTTCAAGTTTGCTTATAAACCCTATTTCGTAGCTAATGATCTAAAAATGACAGACGCCCGATGATATTACAATACCTGCTAAAATTCCTTTTCTAGTAAGATTAAAATAGGTACAAATCACACCAATAAGAATTCAAACAGCTAATGCACCAATCACAGACCCAAGTACAGCTCCTAAACCTACACCTGTTTCGTTTGTGCCTGTAAACACAAAAAAAGATCAATACTCTAGTTTTTTTATGATATTAATACGATTTTTTCATATTGTAGCGAATGTTGCATATCACTCATGCGTATTCTGCGTAGGGCATTAACGCAACGATGACTACAATTAATCATATTTAAATGCTTTAATAGACGTGATGTCAAGTTATGTCACCCGGAAAACAGTCATTTTGGGATGACTTAAAGCAACAAGTACGTTAATTGTATCTATGACAGATATAGGAAACTATGAGGGAATAATAATTCAATGAAAAAAAACGCATGACCACAAGTCCTCTTTCTAAGATATCGTTAGACAACTTTCCAATCAGAAATTAAAATTGCAACAGCAGGGTGATTATAATTAACTTTTATTACCCCTGTGTTACATAACAATGCACAATTTGTATTGTACACTGCCTTTGAATAGTTGGATTGGCAAGGTGGTAGGTGCCAAAGTGGTGTAAAATGTCAAAGTTTAAATGAATGGCATCAAAACAACATTGAGTGATTTGTGGAAAAATATGGCAGTTGAAATGTAAACTTAGGATTTCTATGTCAGAATATATAATATTAAGAAGAGGAAGAATCTATATTTTGCAAATTAACTCTCAATATAGTCACATTAAAGCTATCATGATATATAAAATTACCTTTCCTTAAAATTTGGGACAGTTCATTCAATATTAAAGGGATTTCTTGGTCAGAATATAATATATTAGCTATCAATTGTATAGCGCTAGGCTGCCCGGATGTACGAGCTTGCAAGGCTCAAGGCAAGCCAGATAGTCCGGATGTACAAACATGCTTGGATCAAGGCGAGTCAGAATGCGCAATTATTTAGGTTGTTTGGCTGTTGGCAAGTCAGAATGCCCGGATGTACTAGCTTTCCAGGCCCTAGGCAAATCAGCTTGCTTGGCCCTATACAACACTCATATAAAAATATATAATATTTCGTGGTTTGCTGTCGTGTATGATACCAATTATCTATTGTATCACAAACCTTCCATTATAAACCATTTCACTTAAAGTAACACATGGTTACGCAAAATAATAGTACAAACATACAATACTGGAAGTGTATTTGTATAGGACAGCGCGTTATCACATGTAAGTTTGAGTAAATTGAATTTAAATCTATGAAGCATATAAATATACTAAATATTGCACAAACATATTTAACATTTGACAAATATTCCTCAAGACATATCAAGAGCCACGTGAAGCAATTTCGTTCAGTTCTGCCTATAATATCCTGTTTGTATCTTGCATTCACTGATACAAAGGCAAATTGAAAACAAAAATAAGCTGTCCTGTTGTTTCGTTGATTATAGAAAAGCATATGACTGTATTGATAGGTCAAGGTTATGGTATAAACTTATAAAATCAGGTATTGACGGCAAATTCCTGTCAATCATAAGATCAATGTATAATGAGGTGAAATTGTGTGTTAAACATCTCTATCTGATGTCTTTAATAGAATCAATGGTCTTTTCCAGGGGGGAGATAACTTCTCCAATATTTTTCTCCCTGTTCTTGCATGATATCGAATTACACCTGCAAGAAAATTTTGACGTTTGTCTTAATATCGACCAAATATCAATTTATTTATTGTTATTTGCTGACGATGCCGCCATCATTTTAGAATCTAGATCCGGTTTGCAGAAGTCACTTGATAGTTTATTGTCCTATTTTAATCGTTGGAATTTGACGGTAAATGTTGAAAAGACAAAAATAATTGTATTCAGAAAAGGTGGTAGACTTGGAAATATGGATAAGTGGTTTTATAATAATCAAGAAATCGAGGTAGTAAATTCATTTAACTACTTAGGTGTGGTATTCACGAGTGGGGGGTCATTCATGCAAGCTACAAAGACGTTAGCTGGAAAAGGGCTCAGATCATTATTATATTCATTGTTACAATTGTTACTTGACTACAAAGTACCAGTTACCAGTTAACATGCTTAATCTCTTTGACGCCTATGTTTTATCAATTTTAAATTATGGCTGTGAAGTATTGGGGTTTATGAATGTAGAAGTTTGGAACGAGTACATGAAAAATTCTGTAGGTTTATTTTAAATGTTAAACAGTCAACAAATACTTTGGCATTATATGCAGAATTTGGGAGATTCCCTCTTTACACTGAAAGGCATATTCGTATGATAAAATATTTTCTTATTATTATAATAAGTTATATACAGGTAAAAAAATGAGAACAATATTGTGTAGACAGATATATGATGTTGATGTGGTAAATTGTTCAACAAACTGGGCTTCAAAAGTTAAAAACATTCTTCAGTCAGCAGGATTTAATGAAATCTGGATATATCACGATTCTGTAAATATAAAGCTATTTGTACCTATTTTTAGGAATAGATTACGGGATATTTATATAAGTTGTTGGAATGATGGTAATCAATCTTCATCATTGTAAGATGTATATAGGGAATATAAGATCACAATTGAACAATCGTTATATATAAAATATATTGAAAATGTTAAATATAGAAATGTTTTAGCCAAAATTACACTGTCCTCACACAAACTTAATATCGAGTTAGGAAGACATAATAATGTACCAAGGAATGAACGAAAGTGCACTTTATGTTATATGAATGATATAGAAGATGAATCACACTTTATCCTGAAATGTCTGATATATTCTGAGTTAAGAAAGCAATACATTCCAAGATACTATTATTGCAACACAAGTATGTTTAAATTCATTTCATTAATGCAAACTGGTCGCAAGAAAGAACTGAAAAATTTAGCTTTATTCTGTGTCAAAGCTTTTAAATTGAGAGATAGTTTGTTATAATATACTGACATGTAAGCTTTGCTCTCTTTCTCTGTTTTTTTCTGTTGTTTTAAAAAAAAAGTATCATTGTAACTGTTAAATGCGCATTGTATATTCATCATGTAGATTTGTTAAGTTATATGTGAATATGAAATTGTACATATATACATATATTTTTTATTTATTTATTTATATTTGTATCTTCTCAAATTAAATATATCTGTTTTTCAACACATAAAAAATATAAATACCATGATAAAATGTTTTGACAAAACTTATCTTTATAATTTAGTTTTGGTTATTTGTCTGATTTGTGTGGGGTGTTTTCTTTAAATAAAAAACGTACAAAATCAGTAAACGTATTCATTTATCATACAGAAATGAATTCTATTAATATTGATCATGACTTATTAAAGGGAAGTAAATGTTAAAATACTGGTTATGTAAAGTTACATAAGTTATTCCCCTTCATTTGTCACAATTTAAACTGCGAATTTGCTTTTTTGTGGCTTCTATTGATACGCATTTCCGAATTTCTCAAACATAAAAGAAAATGTATTGCAGCTTAAATTGATAATGTTAGGTAAAGATAGACAAATTCTTGTGTATTATATACATGTATTCATATGCTTTTTAAGTAATTTCTTATCTCATTAAACATTCTCACATTACATAAACAATTATTTTGCAATTAAATACTATTATGTTCATGTCATGTGTCATTTATGTATTATATGTTTTATTTTTATATGTAATATGGTGGTGAGCTTTTTATGCTTAAACCAAGAAATAAAGTTTCTGTTCTGTTCCGTTCTGCTAATATATCGATATTTTTCGGAACAGAAATAGCTTTTCTATATTCTTTGAAAAATAATTTTGGGCAAAAACATTACAAACGGTTTATTCTAAATTTCTTAAGAGCCAGAAACCTGAAAATAAACTTGTAGATTATGAATCCCTTTAATGTTCGCATCCTGGTTCACTACACATGTTTCAACTATGATTGAAATCGAGCAAAGCAATGCAATGTTAAATTTTGCTTGTTGCTGGAATTCTTCTTACGTACTTAATGAGAATTATTAGGAAGTGTTATAACTCAATATATGGCATACAAACTAGATAACCGGTTACCAGCAGCACTTGTTCAAAGAAACTTAATCAAAATATATATAAAAATATATACCAATAAGTTTTTTTTATAGAAGTTTCATACGGATGAATAAAAGGTGAACAAACAACAATAGTGTCATTGTAACATATACACAGGTTATACGTGAATACAAATGTTTCATGTCTTATTAACAGAAAATGTAAGATAATAATTATTACAAAATATCACTAGAATAACAAAACGCACCCGCTTAAGCAATATTAACAAACATAATATAAGCTTGATTTGATATCATCTATGTGAAAATAACATTCGACAATCAATTTACTTTTAATATTACACATATTTTAGCTTTACACATGTCAAGCACACATATATAAACATTTAATGAAAAAGTCTTTTTTGCGAATTATGTTGATATTTCAAGTAGCAACATAACTGCAAGAAATCACCAGTCCTTAAAACAGTATTTTTTTATTTTTTCCAAACGACCCCGTTATTTATACAACATTATACATAGCATAATACATTAAGTTTTTAATCTATTACACAAGTCAGTGAGACTATTTGTGTAACAATATCTTCCATTAAAATAACAGAAATACAAATATTACAAACAATCCTGCTATAAAGTTTCCCGAACAGACAAGAACGTTTAAGACGAATCTCTCAAGTATATTCTCAAGATTTATCGACTTTGTTTTAGATCTGTATATGTGTGATAGTTCTCTGTTTCCTGATTCAGACTCTCATACTGTGATTGGCTGAAAATAGACATATGAATGAACATTTAACAATGACGAATTAAAAACATTAAGTAAAATTAACTTACAATAAGCATGTAAAAAGCAGATCTAATAACAATAATTATCATGATTATGCCAAACATTCAGTTTACAGTCCCTGGTCAACTATTTGTATTTCATCGAAAGATCTGTTAGCATTTTGTCTTTCACCTATCATTGTTAATAATTTGAAGCATTGAGCCAGCTGAAACAAGGTCTTACAAAGGCAAGAATGTACATTACACTACTCCCGTATGTATCTTATATTTATGTTCATAATAATAGGCTAAGAATTTAATATTTGAAGAGCATTGCATTAAAAATCAGTTATCTCAATCTTAGTATTTATAGATATTTTTAGTTAAAGCTATCTAAGAAATAATTACATACTTTTGTAAATATTTATGATTTTCATACCTGTTTTGTTGTACTCTGGAGTTGACTGAAACAATTTTTAAAAAGAAACAGCTGGTAGTAAATATCGTTAAGAAAACAATAACATTCGTTTTAATAGCAATTATTCTGTGTATACATCATTAATAAAGGTTAGACTTTATATTGCAAAATAATAAAAAAACAATTTTAGTTCAACATATATGTTTCAGAACGCTACACGATCTATATTAAGAGATTCATTTGTAATATTAGTTCATCAAACCGAATAATGATATATTAAATACATATTAAATGAATAACGACATGAAAAAATTTATTGAAAGTCAACATACCTTCAAGAGAATGATAAGTTCCCCTGATTTCAGTATCTGTTCTGTTTTGAAGTTGCTCGTAGGTATCCCTAGTAGAAATGATTTTCAAAACGAGTAAAATTTCAATGCCAAAGTTATAAATTTTAGTGTTGTAGTCAAAGGGCGAATAAGATTAATTGATGGTATTCACCAACTAGGCCTCTCCCTAGTTTTGCCATTTTTATTTTTTGAACTGATCTTTCATATGATTATGACATACATGTGTTATAAAAATCGTGATTTTCAAAACGAAATACACCAAGAAATCATTTAAAACATTCGTAACTTACAGAGCAGTTGTTGGTCCAGTTAATTCTATGTCACAAGAAACTGTCGGCTGAGTTTTCGAGCCTGTGTTTGATAGAAGTAGAATTGTTACCACTTAAAACGGTAAATAATTCATAGAATAACATATTATGTTGTTCTCAGTTATTTGTTGTACATAATAACAAAATTAAGCTGTTTATTGCTAAATGGTTCTACATCATTTCTGCAAAAATAATCATTATAAAACAAATCAATCGGTATAGCTGCTACATACTTTATAGACATAATAACACGTTTTCTTCTGCATTTACTGACTAATACAACAACCAACACACGATAGAAAACTACTCCTTAGGTTAAAGCGTAAGAATTCTCTTTAAAGATCTAATGCAGTCTTCAAATATGGTTGTATGTGTTATCGATAACTATCAATCTATTTCAAATTTGCCTATAAACCATATTTCTTAGATGATATTCTATAAATGACAAAAGACCGGTGTTTTAACAATACCTGCTATAATTCATTTTCTAGTAAGAATCAACAAGGTAGAAATCACACCAATAAGAATTCCAACAGCTAACACAGCAAAAACGGACCCAACAACAGCTCCTAAACCTACACCTGTTTCGTTTATGCCTGTAAACACAAAAAAGATCAATGCCCTACATAATCTTGCATTTAGCAACACTAACATTAAATTATTATTATTATTATTATTATTATTATTATTATTATTATCATCATTATTATTATTATCATTATTATTATTATTATTATTATTATTATTATTATTATTATTATTATTATTATTTACCAAACTTATTAAGCTCTTTTTTCATGCACATTGGCACGTTCAAAAATTCTGTGCAGTTTTACCAAATAGATGTAAAATATTTAAAAAACAAATTAAAACATCAATATTGCTCAAGTCACAAATTCAAATCAAATGTAGTTTTAAAAGTTAAAAAGACCCACATAAATAATAAAATACAGAAAAGACTTAAGAATTGTTAAAAAGGCGAACCTAAAAATTAATCAATCCAAGTAAAACCTCTTAAATAAGTGAGTTTTAAGTGCTCTCTTAAACACTGTTAGAGTTTCACAGCTTTTAAGTGTTCTAGATAGGGCATTCCAGAGTTGAGGGGCATAAAAGCACGATCACCATAAGTCACAGTCCTACTACGCGGTACAACCAGTGCTAAGCAATCATAATAATTCTGGGACATAAGTTATCTGGATGGGATATAAATGTCTATCATGTTTCGTATGTACGTAGGTACCTGTCCATGAAGCGCCTTAAACACATATTATGTCAGGAGTTTGTACTCGACTCTGATGTGCACAGGCAGCCAATGTTATTCTTTTGACACAGGGGCCTGCATGCCATTATTGTTAAGGAGTTTATTATTTCTGTTTTGCAAAACAAAAATCCTGGATTGGTTGTTACTCATAATTTGACATTTCATATAGCACAAATTTGGACGGAAATGTATTCAGAACCCACGTCTTCAATTTCAATGCAGTTGACAGTAATTTTAGCCTATTTGAATACTCTGCAATGCCAGGGGTATTCTACCTTAAGTTTACGTGGCAAAAAAGAGTTTTAAAAATGAATGCCAAACATTATTATTGTTGACCTGCAGTTAAAATACATGTAACATGTGATTTCTTCTAAATTACAATTACAAAGTATCATATATATAATTAGTCTCATAAGGTCAAATTGGTGACAATTAAAAGAGAAAGCCAGGTTTTCCCTTCATGATAAGTGTACGACAGTTGTCCCGAAATTTCACATAATATTTCATTTATATCATATGAAAAACTATTCAAAGCGATTTCAAATCTTTTCATCATATCTATAGTAATGCAATAAATGTCTTCTTAACATAATTAATTCCATACCTTAATGATATTGGTTTTCAAAAAAATACTCATCGTCGGATACCCACGATTGATAAACATGTCACATAACATGCAATCAATGAATGATGATGAATGATAATGGTTCGGCCGTGGGTATCCGACGATGAAAAATACTATAATAACAAACGCTGTCACAGAACGTGAAAAATGCCCCGAAGGATTCTAGTTATAAACCACATATTACATGTTATGTCTGGTTGTAAAAATTAACACAGTTTGAACCCAAGCAGCGACCTTTAAGTTAGACAAAGAAATCTAGGTCTTGTTCACAACACATTGTGCATCTATGGTGACTTTATATTTTTGAATAAAAATTGAAAAATTTATGTATATGGAAGTTACAGAGCGGATACAATAACAACTATTTATATGTATATAACATAAATATTGAAAAAATTAAGCCCCAGCAGTGACCTTAAACTAAGGCGTAGCAACACGGGTCTCAAGGGCAACACATAATATATTAATGATTATTACATATGTAAAATAAAAAATATAATCCTTCCATGCATATTAGTTTCAGAGCATCACGACCGTCTCTACCTATATGTATATCAACATCAAAATTAACAAAGTTTGAATCTCACAGTGACCTTGACCTTAGTCGTAGAAACGCCTAGTCTTGTTCGCAACACACCATACATCTATGGTAAATTCATATGTGAAAGAAAATTAAAATCTTATCATGCATAAGGCAGTTTCAGAGCGGTAAAGGTTCTTGCTCAAGGAAACAACGAGTTCCCCTTGACGGGGTTTGAACCCATGCGGCTAGTGATCATTTCGATTACTAGTCCGACGCGTTAACCACTCGGCCATGCCGCCATCGGATCAGGATTTGTATATCGCCTTTTTCTATATAATCGCTTTTTTGTTTTATAGTATGTAAGTTTATCGACTATTTCGAGCACTCGGGAATACATTTTTTGTTCTTTCAATTTTGTAACAGATTATAATTCGGATAGTAATTTTAACTCAGTTCTAAATATATTTTAAGTAGCAGAAGCCAGATATATCATTTTACCCTTTGACAGAGGTGGTTATTTTTACTTTTTTATCCTTGCAACTAGTGAAGTCAAGTAAGAATAGTTCGCTGTAAGAGCAAAATTGTGTATAATGTCAAAGTTTTAAAAACACCTTTGAGTAACTATCGGAAATCATGGTAGTTAGATGCAGTTTATTGATTGTACACTATTGAAGTCAAACGTCCGATCTTTTACCTGTGCCGGTTTGCAAAATAGGAATTAAGAAAACTTATGTCGTTTTTTAAAAATAATTTGCCGTGTGGTTAGATATTTCGATTTTTAATACAAATAATTGTCTCAAATATACAATAGTGCTTTATAATATTATTATTTCGCTGATATACGAACTAAAAGGACAATCCTTGAACGTATAACAATATCCAACATGGACAGATAGAACAATTTTAGACAGTTTTACCTGTTGTACTCATATAATCGCCTGTCTCTCTACCATCTGGGTTTGCTGTAATTTAGAATATAAGAATTGCTTTAATAGCATGTAACAGAGTATAAAAACATATAGTTATTTTCTGTAAATACTACTGTGCATGTCATTCAATGCCTTGAAATATTATGATTATGATTCGTGACAAGGATTTTGGTTATGTATAACCTCTAAAATGCATTTGACAGAATAGTGCTAAAACGTTTTTGCTTTAGTTAAGTGCCAGTGGTCACATAAGATTTAAATGATATGTTACAGAAAAACATCTTTTCAAACTTCTTTATATATGAGAGAGAGAGAAAGAGAGTAACACGTTTCCTAAAACTTTATTCGAGTATTTGCTATAGTTAGTAGGTTGAGCGACATTTCAAGCACTCCAGGATACATATGATATTTTGATCTTTCATTTTTATAACTTATCATCATTCGAATTTGAACTAAGTAGAAAATATTTTTATAAACATAATGCTCATATGTCATTTGACCCTTTGACAGTTTTAAGGTCATTTTCCTTGCAACTAGAGAAGTAAATTAAGCGTGCTGTAAAAGGATAGTGATGTATGATGTCATTGAAAGTAGTAAATGAATAGCATCAAAACTTGAGTGATTCGCACAAAATCACGGTAGTTTGGAACAGTGTGTTAACTGTATACTAACAAAATAACGCGTTTTGTTTTTAAAGAAAATCGTCCAATTTTTTGCCTGAGCAGATTTGCAAAATTTCGATTGTTAAAATAGAAATTACAAAAATTTTGTCGAGTGGATAGATATTTTGACAGTTAATAGAAATATTTTTTCTCAAACATATAATTACTGCTTTATAATATTCGTAATTTGGCTTTTATACGAACTTAAAGGACAACCCTTGCAAGTATTACAAAAGCCCACAAGGACAGATAGAACAATGAAGGGCATTTTCTGTTATACCTGCTGCACTCATATTATCGCCTTTCTCTATATCACCTGGATAAGCTGAAATTTAAAAAATAAAAAAAGTAATAACATATAACAGAGTATTTATCTAAAGATGGCATTGAGTTTATTTCTGTGAATACTATTGTGCATGTCTTTTGTTATAATATGATTACGCTTCTTGAATCTATTACATTATACAGGCATTTGACAGGAAACTTCTTAAACGTTTTGCTGTAGTTAAGTACCAGTGGTCACATATGTTTCAAATGAAGTGTTACGGGCAAAATCATCTATCAAAACATCCTCTAACTGCTTCATTTTTAATTTAGATTAACTCTCACCAGCGAGTTCACTTAGGTTCATAATTATTATCGCTAGAGTAAATGAACGACCCTAGACGGATGCCTTATCACAAAGTCGTTACTTATTATTCATCAGCAACTTCAGTCAGTAAAGATTAAGGCAATTTGTGAATGCAAATACGTTTCTCGTTTTTTTATGTTTTGGCTTTTTAACGAACTAATTGAACAATCCTTGTACGTATATTAATAACCCACATTGACAGATTGAGCAATAATGGACTTTTTTTACCTGTTGTACTCATATTTTCGCCCGTCTCTCTACCATCTGGGCTAACTGTAATTAAAATTAAAATTGAAAATTTAGTAACATATAATAGAGTATTTAATAACTATCGTTACCTATTACTTTCTACATGCATTTGACAGGATAGTGCTATGTAACCCGTACGTACCAGTGGTTACATACGATTCAAATGATGTGCTACGAAAAAAAAAACATCTTTTAAAACATCTTACTGCTACACCTTTAATCTAATTTCATTTTGACCACTGAGTTCACATACTAGGTTCATTATTATTATCGCCTCAGAAAATGAACAACCGCAGACGGATGCCTTATGATCAAAGCGTTACATATTTTTCATCAGCAACTTCAATCGGTAAAAGATAAGGCAATTTGTGAATGTTTCAATTATTATTCGTCAGATGTGTCAAACATTAATTTTATTTAAACATTATGTACACATTACCAAGTCAAAGCGTTCATCAGATGTTTGTTGAAATAATATAAGTTTCCAATTTACTTTTACAATAATAATGTAAAGTATAAAAATCAAATAAAGACTTGTGCATGCTTGCACACGGACGGACAGAGAGAGAAAGGGAGAGGCCTAGAATACCTCTAGAATACAAACCCATATTTGCTCTTTCAATTGATGTCACTTATTGTCTTTCAAATTTAAACACAGTAGCAAATATTATTATGTAACGGAAGGTTAATATGTCGTTTTATTTTTTGACAAAGGTTATTATTTTTAGTTTGATATAAATAAAAAAAGGTTCAAGGTCAAAGTGGTATCACACTCCGTTACAGTATAAAATGTATGAGATTGAATTAATCAAAACATTTTGTTGATACATCAAGTTTGATTTTAAAGGTAATTAGCATTTTCCATCATTTAAAAATGAAAGAATCAAAATGGCTTTCAAAAATATGATTGTAACATTTGGCATTGTGTGCAAACAACCTGTAAATCTATAATCATACTATTTTCAATATATACATTAAGTAGCATAGTATACTTACTTATAACAAACATCTTAGCAGTAACACTTAAAGGTGACTATTTTCAATATATACATTAAGTAGCATAGTATACTTACTTATAACAAACATCTTAGCAGTAACACTTAAAGGTGACGACAATGCATCGTTCATGACTGAAAATATCACATTTTCCATGTGATGATGGTCCCTCACCTTGAACAATACCATATAGGTTGTTGAATTCCATTCTTCGGGTATATATGATTCATTTCCTATTGTCATGGTAACAATTAGAGGACGGGTTCCACCGTGTATCTCACAGGCAAGTTCGAACAGGTCATTATCTTCACCAACAACACAGTCAGTGCAATTTTCTATGTTTTGTAGACCAACTATTACAGGTAAACTTGGTGGTTCTGAAAATATGCAGAATAATTGCTGACAAACGGAGAATGTTAGTGATTGCATTGTGTCAATGAAAAGTATTCTGTTATTTGTATATTTAGAAGTGCTTAATTTGAATATATATAAGTGTACAAATCGACGTCATTAGGCTTCTCTTTATCATGTCTTCTTTAAAAATTCAAATTGTACTCAGTAAATTTCTGCTTAGTTTCTAACGATCTGAAATACAAACCAACCTGATACTTTTACTTCTATGGGATTTGTAAATGTGTTACTGTTGTCGCAATAAACAGCATATCGCCCGTTCATAGAAATATTAAACCTGTATATTTTCAACACGTATACATCATTTGTCTCCCGTATTTGTTCGTACATACCAGCTGCCATTTTCAACTTTTTCGAATTTAGCTTTGCGGAATATATCCAATGTCGTTTAGAATTACTGTTACGTTTCTCATAATTTGATGGATGATATTCAATTTCTACTGTTACGAAATTAACCACCTTCTCAGATCTTAGTTTTACTTCTCCACATATATCTGAAGAATATAAATAGCTTGATAATGACTGTTATTTTTTTCAATTCGCTTTGCTTAGCGAAATAAATAATTTATAACCTAATAAGAGGTATAGGACGGAATAAACAACAACACTAAAACAGGATGAAGACCTTTGCATTGTTTCAGTATTGTTTAATACACATCAATATAAAATGAGCCGTGTCACGACAAAACCAACATAATGCGTTTGCGACCAGCATGGATCCAGACCATCTTGTGCATCCGTGCAGTCTGAACAAGATCCATGCTGTTCGCTTACAAACCCTATTATACTGATAGCGAAAAGCATGGATCCTGATCGAAGACACCTCTTCAACTCTTATTGATCCAATTGCTATCTCAGATCAGAATTTAATACACATCAATATAAAATGAGCCGTGTCACGACAAAACCAACATAATGGTCTGGATCCATGCTGGTCGACAACGCATTACGTTGGTTTTGTCATGACGCGGCTCAAATATAATAACACTTTATGTCTGTGGAAGCAAAACCTCTGTACTTAAACTCTTGACAGCTCCCAGCCTGTAAAATAAACTGTTATCTTGATTATTAACATATCGATATGTACAGATATGTACAACCAGAAGCTTTACTGCCCATAAAGATAAAGCATTTGATTTTACTTATCCACTGAAAACAGTTACATTCTTACATTTTGCTTACTTTATAGTTAATACAATAATGGCTAAGTTTAGTTTAGTTTAAACATATTTTATCCATTTCCATTTTTACAAGTACAAAGCAAATGTATAGAAAACGGGGTTGGACCACAAGTTCAAATAACATTAGTAATGGCATTGAAGAATATAACAAAGAACATGTATTTTAGGAACAAAAAATGTTAGATCATTTGCTGAGAGAGAGAGAGAGAGAGAGAGAGAGAGAGAGAGAGAGAGAGAGAGAGAGAGAGAGAGAGAGAGAGAGAGAGAGAGGATGTACTTTTGGCAGTCGCAATTATTCTTTTAAGAGCAAAAATCTTCAGCATGGAGCAGATTTTATCGAAAAAATTCCGTAAATGACCAGTCCGTAGTTATTATTAAATCGTTAAGTTTCGCAAAATCAGCGCGATTCTAATACCATACAAGTTTTTTTGTAAGGTACTGATTGTGGTAATTTAAATTTGATATAAATATAAGTGCCAAAATGATATTGATATTCCACGATGTCTTAAAAATACCCGAATGTAGAATTAAATTCTGATCTGAGATAGCAATTGGATCAATAAGAGTTGAAGAGGTGTCTTCGACTCGTGTCGGTTCCGTAATAACATTATACATATTATTTAAAATTGATACATCGCGAAGTTTATGGCTCCTTATGTTCAACTGGTCTTCATTAATGTCGCCTACAAATAGAACTCTACATGACTTAGTAAAAGCATTTTTAGACATAATTATATTATATTCAATCTAACCAAAAAGTCTACATTTGTATTAGGTGGACGATAAATATAAGCTATCAATTTTTTTCATTACGGTCTTTTATTTCAATCCAAAGTGATTCGGGTAAGGTATTTTCCAAATCAATAAGCCATTTAGATACGAACTTCTCATTAACATAAACCAAAAGTGACACGTGTTGTGTTTACGGTATATTATGCTGAAGTTAGTTAGTTTCAAGCTGTAAATATTGATTGAGTTGTACAAATGTGTTTCCGTAAAACAGATACTATCAAAGTCTAACCAGGTATCTATAATATATTCAATTTTATTCCGGATACTTTTTATAATCTGATGAAAACTGAGAAAGATCCGTCAATGATATCATTAGGCCCTGGATTTAATTCAACATCACCCGATAAAAGTATAAGATTTGATAAAAGAACTAAAAAATGTAAGTTCAATGACTGAGATTAACTGTTCGATGCTTCGAACAAGTTAACAAGTTCATTTGTCAATTGATTACCGACATATACAGAAATGTATTATGTATTATGTTTTTTAAAATATAAACTACAGACATGTATATGACTCATTATTTATTCAGTTAAATTATAGTTTTATTTATTTATTTTCAGTCATTTTTTAAAATTTCTGTTGAATTTGACGACTGTTTTTTTACTGTAATCATTTTCTAATATTTATAAAGAAAATATCAATATAAAGATATTTTCCCATATAAACATATTTACTCGTTGATACCTATCCGAGCAAATCAAATTCCCGCATTTGTACACCATGTATATAATAAGTTACATGAATTCATGTGTATATACATATATATGCTTACTCAAATAGAAATGAACTTCAGGTAAAAAAGGAAATACTTCAATGTCGCATTTTGTTGCATTATCGGACAAATTGTGACTGCATAATCAAAAAGAAAACAAAGAAATGAACAAAAAGAAAGAAAAAAATTATCAAAATACATACAGACACAACAATAATTCTTATGACAATGTTAAAAAAAGTTGCTCGTGCTCGGTCACGCTACTATAAGCTCAGGTAAAATGATTTACCAGTTAATTGATAAGGTATATCCAATAATAATCACCGAAGCACAAAGAGGTCATACACGTACACGTACACAAACTACAAACTGTTTGTTTTTATCAGAAACACCAGCTATAAATAAGCATAATCCTTATCACAGTGCTTTTTAATTAATCCATATCACCAGAGTTTACATTAATTTTGCTAGTCCCGAACATTAAAACATTCAAAAACATAACATCAAAATATCTCAGAGCTGCTAAAATTAAGCTGCACCCATTTTAGCCTCGTATTCGTTTCAATTTTAATAGCTATTTTAAGTCATAACAATTTGTCTAAGACTAACAACAGTAAAATGTTTGGTGGGTAGGCAATACGACATGTACAATACAATTCAGAGTTCTCTCCGACCTGCAATTACATACACTTCAAGGTAAGTGAAGCCGAAATATTCGTACTAATATAACCGAACAACTATAACTTTTAAACTGCAATTATAAATACATTTAAAATCGTTGTTAGTTCTGGCCAAGAGGTTTGTCAATTGTTAGTTGGCAACACTCACGCACAACAGCGCCGCCTGTAAAATATTTAAACAAAAACAGTTTATAGTCTCTTCTTGCGAAGAGGCACGATTTGTTAATAAAATCTAATAATCTTATACACGCCTCGGCTTGATGATGTTTTTGATAAAAATGGCGAAGGGAAGTTGGTATTGTGTGTAATTATGATAAGCATCCATATAATATTATAAAAAATATCAAAATATTAAACAACAACGAAATTAATAACACACACACACGCACACCAAAAAGCTTTACATTTAAGGTGAATCGAAAATTGTGTTTAATAATTCATTTAACAACTTTGTCATATTTTTGACATTACAGTTCGGAAACAAATGCTGTGAAAGTGGGTACACACACATAGACCGACGGTGCGATTTTAACAAACCGCTATTCTAAATTTATCAAACTGTAAAAGTTTAGGTTGTTAAAGTGATCAGCTGTCAAAATCTAATGTTGATATGTCAAACTATTACAATTCAGGATAGTATATAAAAATGCAGCCAAGCTATTACAATACAGGTTTAACAAATCTATTCTATGTTACAGTGCTATACTATTATAATTCAGGTTGGTACTGTGCTGAGCTATCAAAGCGTTAGGCTATTACAATTCTGGTTGTTTAAGCGCTACGCTATTACCATATATTTTAAACAGTACTAAGCTATTACAATTCAGGATGTAAAGCGACAGGTTATTACAATTGTAACAGCGTTATGCTTTTATAATTACAATTTAGGTTGTTATATTGCTGAGCTATTACAATTCAGGTTGTAACTGAGACAAGCTTTTTCAATTTAGAAGGTTCAAATCCTCAATATATAGAATACAACTGAGCTTTGTTGAAGAAACAAAAAAACAAAACAAAAAACAACAAAAAACAAAAAAAAACAAAACCAACAACAACCCCCCCCCAAAAAAAAAAAAAGAAAAAAAAAGAAAACAACAACAGCAATAAAAGCACGAAAGTTATAAAAGGACATGAGTAACATCATTTCTAAAACATCCGCATTGTACAGGTTAAAAGGGTCACCCCAGCGTGTAGATCACAAGAAATTATAAACATGCAATCATATAGGCAATATTTAATACATCTCGCGCCGTTTGCTTGATGCTTCAAAATAAAACAGCAGTACATTTTGCAGTTTTTCAATAGTATACATTATTGATATATAAAAGTCCGAAAAATAATCACTCGCAAGCATTATTTACGATAAAATTACATGAAAATTTTAGACTCGGTTTGACTGTCTGTAAATGAGGAACAATAAAACAAATTAATATTCCTAACGCTCCCTGGCACAAAAAAAACTAAAACAAAAACGGAAGCGAAGAACGGATAAACAATGTATGTAACAGATTACTGGTCACTTAAATTTCTGTTACAAATATGTATTTAAAGTACAGCATATCAGAAAATGCTTCAATAAATTAAACCTCAAACTTACCTATTCTAGATTCTACCGGTATCGATAATATGACCAAAAATAATACGCACAGAGAACTGACAATCGTTGACATTTTGAAAACATTTAGAGTCCTTTAGAATAATTTATAGTAATAAAATAAAGAATATGAAGAAAAGGAAGAAAAATTTATCCCTTAATATTTTCCTCATGTTATAATTCATCCGGAGCTTTAAATAAAGTGAGTAAGTAATTTCACGAGTACTTTCTAACCGTTTTAAGTGTTACAATGATGTGTCATCCGGTTAACGGTATAGACTTCACCGGATAATTATTATCACATCCTTTTTTAGTCAAAAACACATTTAAAATTACCACATGTATTTTAATAAATAATTTTTTATCATACTATAGGCATGCATACACACATACTATATTGTCATTTACATATCATGTTAATTGCTGAATAAGAGCATTCGGAACTGCCTCGGCTATTATCTATAATAACCTCGGAAACAATACGGATTGAAAGTAGTTCTACCACGTGATTTCAGATGTAAACAGAAACAGAGATAATGTAAAACGAATGTGTATATTTGACATCTAATGTCTGTTCCGGTACTCTTTTCCTTGAAAATAAGTCTGACTTTAAATATGCCCACTGATGTTCAATTTTAAACAAATCCGACTATATGTCAACAGGTTGGTTTTTTGTACTTTCGGTTTTACAACCATAATAATAAATATATAAATAATGTATTGTTTGCTTTAGTACCTATGAATTCACTTATTTTAGGTGGACTTCTACTTCATATATTGGAAATAAACTTGTCAACAACTCCCAGCATTAATTAACTATTTGTTTACATGTTTAATTTCTTAGCGTAGGTTAGACCGAAATACCGCATCCGTTCTGTGTTTTCATACTATTGTGTTCAAGGTCCTTATCCGAAGACTGACGGAAAGGGCCGAGTAGTTGCGATTGGAATAAGAGCAGCCACACTAAAATAAACATTATTATACAAAAATGGTTATCGCGAAATAAAGAACGACAGTTTCAAAGCAATCAAGAAATTTATCGATTTAATATGTTAATACAATGCCAAATATTACATTAGAAATGTCTTAGTGTTAGTTCAAAATTGAATTTTTAAGGTTGATCAGAAACCTGCATATCACTGTGACAAATTATCTATATCAAGATGATTCGACGAATATTGATATAATTGTTTGAACTATCTTGCGTCAGTTGTTTTTTAGGATGTTTTGTAAAGTTTAAATTCCCAACGTTATTCTTTATATGGTATTAAAATTTTTCAAGTACAGGAGGGCCTCACTTTCCAATCAGGCATGCGCAAGCACATGAGGGTAAGCTGCCTACGTTTGTATTTTGAACACGACTGAAGTTAACACCGAAATAACATGCACAGAGGACAGAAAGTCGTTGACATTTTAGAACTTGTATGATTTATATCGTTTATAAGAATAGTAATAAAATACAGAAAGAGGAAGAAAATTTTATGCCTGTTACACTTTCCTTACATTATAAACAACCTAGCGCTTTAACTAGTCAAGTGTTCATTCAGTGTTATGTGATTGTTTTTAAGTGTTACAACGATGCGACATCCGGTTCATAAATCGACATCATCAGCCTTTAAAACTTATTAACACATGCTATATTAAACTAAATGTGTAAAACTGGCTAGAAAAGTTACTAAGGTTAGAAGTAAGTACTTGGAACACATTGAATGTGTAAGTTTTGAACCTAGCTGTATGATTGAAATAAATATTAATACGTTTATATTGCAAACAAATATTTCCCGATCCCACTGGGTCCAGTAGTTGCATTATCAGAGCATTTATTATTAACATTTTTTTAATTAATGCCCTAAGATCATACATAATATAGACATTCATAAACTCATACTATAATGTTATACATATAACATTATAATTAGTGATATAATGATTATCGTGAAATAAAAGTAAACGACAAATGCATTTGCAAAGCAGTCAAGAAATTTTCGATGTGGTATAATGAATATGTTATCAAATGTTACTATATGTTTGTATTACACCTATTCTTGCATCAAACATGCAGAAAATCTTCATAAAAAAGATTCTAAAATCACAGGTTTTCATGTACATTGATTAACTGAATGAAATCATGCAAACGTTGTCAGTATCAGTTGATATAAACCGTTCTTCAAATTCATATTTCAAAGGAGTAATCATGTGTTATGAGATGCACATCAAAAAATTAGAAAAGCAAAATTTAAAGTCTTTAGTAAATTTTAGTGATTCTTAAAGATACACTTTCAAGAACCAAAATATCATTTTCAGGTCCAATTCTTTAGACTCATACATTAGTCAGCAAAATATATTTATTTTGCTTTCTCCCTTTTCCCATTCTAGTTTATGATACCCAAGAGTAAGTAAAAAGGGTTAGAATTAGTAGAAATATAATAGTGTCAATTTTACAATCTTAACATTGTTTTTCCTCAATAGGTAATTTAAAACTATTCATTCATTTATTTTGGGCTATACGAATTGCTTTACTTTATTTATTATGACGCCATTTTTTTTTTCATTTTTAGTACGTTCTTGAAGTAGAATATGTATACCTTTGAATTCATTCGGTCGTTGAGACGTTTAAAATTATTTGACTTATTAAAAGTCGACAGCCGACACCCTTTTTATGCGAATAAATCCAGGACACTAGCAGTTTTTTTTTAATTCCTTTGGGATATCGTTACAATTTAAATTCAATTCAATGAGAAACTTCTAGTCTGAAAAAACAGGTAAAATGTAAAGCACTGTTACGCAGGATCTCTTTTGCTAAAGTCACGTTAGAAAAAATGAACAAAATGACGATTGATGTAATTCAGTAGAAAAGTGGGCATCGAATAGCATGTACAATTTTCATATAATAGATTTACTGCATGAAAGCGGACACGTAAAATTGTATACCAGTTTGTTGTCGTTTTAGATAAACAGTGCAGTATTTATCAAAAACTGGTGGAACTTTGCGTTAAAAACAGCCACAAAGAAAGCGTGTACTCTAATCGAGAATAACAAGGGGTAGAACTAAACAAAATTTAATTTTGAAAGTTGATAAGAAACTTGCATTTCACTGTGTCTAATTATCTATATCAAGATAATTCGACGAGTATTGATATAATTATCTGAACTATATTGCGTCAGTTGTTTTTAGGATGTTTTGTGAGGTTTAAATTCCCAACGTTATTTTATATGGTATTAAAATTTTACAAGTAAAGGAAGACCTCACTTTCCTTTCAGGCTTAAGCAAGCAGGAACAATACTGAAATCCCAAAAGTAAGTTTACTTTAAATACTTGAACATACAATGGAAGTATTCGAATAAATGAAAGTTTACTCTTTGTAAGTAAGCTTTTCCTGAGTTCAATATTTCATTAATCAATTGATCTAGCCATTTGTAATCAGTCTCATTCATCGAATGTATCAATGCATAACTGACTCTTTATAATTCGTTCTCATTTTTCATATTTTATCAAACTGACAACGTTTCAGTGGAAGTGATGCTAGCTATGGTTGAAAACCCTTAAAATAATCTACTGATAGTGAATTCTTTTCCATTAATATCAATGTATATTATATAAATAATTATATTTTTCACTTGTTTAATAACATTTTCCTTATTCTGGTACTTATGCCAGAAATACATGAGAGGGAAAGAACGAGAACAACGAGGAAAACGTTGTGTATCAGGAAGTCTAATAGAACATTAGCATTGCCTTTATTAGCCTCATGATGTATTGGCATATAATGTGAACATAACTTCCCTTTTGTTTTAAATATAATTTATTATACTGTATGTTTGCCATGAATAATAATATCAGTTTCTCTTTCGGATTATTTTCAATTATTTTAGTAGCATGTGTGGTCACTGGAACGGGTAAGTAAATTGCATCCTTTATTAATTGCACATTACTTAAGAGAAAGGGCTACGTTTTCTATGCATGATGATCTTTATGGTTATGATAATGATAATAATGATGAAAACAATGGTGAAAACAGTGATGATGGTGATGATGATGATGATTATGATGATAATGATGGTTATTCTTAAGAAAAATATGATCCTTGGGATAATTTGACAATGACAACATCGATCATAACTATGATATTGATAATAATCTATACAATTATGATAATTGTGATGACAATAGTGCTTTTGATGATCACGAGAACTATGTCAGCGATTATGATAATTTGAGATGTGCCGGTGACGATGATGATAATACAATCTTAATAAGAATTTTAACCTGTTCCGAAACCACAGTATCAATCAAGTTTTGATTTAATTTGAAAAAAAGAAACCAAACACATATAAAAATGTTTTATTACAGGTATTATATTTTATTGGTTACTACATTGTTTATATATTAAGACGCATTTTATTTTCAGGCGTGGTTAAAGACTGTTTTAGTACAACGGTAGATGACTACATCGGACATCAGCAGACGACAGAGAATGGGACACCATGCATAAGATGGGATTCTCCCTCCGACAAAAATACTTACACAAATGACCATTTCCGTGATGCTACTGTATCAGATGCAGCCAACTTTTGTCGTAAAGTTGGAAAGAATAATCTCTGGTGTTGGACGTCAAACAATGGCGCTTGGGGCACATGTGGAATTGGAAAATGTGGTAAATAAATAATTCGCGATAACTTACAATATATATTACATCAATGCTGAATCTTAAAAATTATTTCCGGTTTAGCATTTCGATACGTTATTGATATATAATTTTATAGTATGCATGAAATTGTATATGAATCTATGTTGATATGATATTTATTTTGCGACCTTTTAAATTTAAGTCTAGAAAAAATTCCTAACCTTAATTTTGTTTACCTTATAATAGCTAAATATTTAAAACTTCTAATTTGATTTTCTATGTAATAAATCAGCTTATCAATTTATAATATAATAATATGTGTAAAGTTGCAGTTTCTAAAACTATCGCAATGGACATATAGCAGACCCATCCATTTCGTCATTGTTTTTTGTTTCTTTCTTTTTAGGGGGGGGGGGTGCAGTTATAGTGATTTTCGTTTTTTGTTTGGAAATCATAATATACCATTTTGTTTACATGTTCATACCTCTATTACAAATTGTTTCACATTAAGCACTATTTTATTCAGGCGTTAAGCATATCACGTGTTCTGAATAAATGATTACAAACAGTACAAGCACATGTTTGCTTCAACAAAAAGAAAACAAAAATTCAATTCTTAGGTTTAATGAGCCTTTGATTGTCTTGAAAATAAATTTATGAGCTAAAAATAAATAAGACGCGAATCACTCACGTAAATATGCAGACCATTGTCTTTCTTACTAAGCCAGTTCAACGGAAAATATACGACACAAAATCGACATAAAAGCATTAGTTAAACTATAACGTGACATCATAGTTTTGGTATGTAAGTGATAACATATCCTACGAAATAATTGTGATTCTCATACACTTAATTTTTATTATTCCCACAATCATTATGTTTGTCCTGAGTGAAACGTATTATGAATTCATTCTCCTCATTATTTTTGCTATTTAATTTAAAAGTTTATAGCTTAATACTGTGAACTGTACTGCATTGTACTGTACTGTTCTGTACTGTACTGTACTGTACCTGACTGTACTTTGTACTGTACCCCAGTACTGTACTGCACTGTACTGTACTGCACTGTACTGCACTGCACGGCACTGTACTTTAGTCCAAGATATAAGTAATAGTTGGTGTTGCGCAAGAGTACCGTCTTAACTACAAAAATGTATATCCTTCTTAGAACCATGGCAAAATAAAAAATAGAAATTACAAAAAATGTCTTATACGAGTATCTTCCCTTAAAAGCTTTGTCAAAGATTTATCCTGTTTTTGCTCAATTGCATGCATAGCATCACTTAAATCGCGAACAGTATATTTATAGCATTTGAATCAAATACATGTTCAAACTTTTGAATTTCCGCCCTGTCTTAGACGTAAGCGGTTAAAAGATCGGTTACAAAACTTTTGAACGGAAGGAAATACTGTTCAAAAATGTATGTTTGGGAAACCCATATAAATTCTTGCAACCAATAAATCAGATATCTTCTGTGGGTAGGTCAGATGGAAAAAGACAATAGTGATAATATAGGAAATATGTAAAGAAAGGCTTACGGTCATTATTTTCAGACATTACGGATAAATCTCACTCAAAGGTAATTACTTTTTTATTTTAGCTCATGAAAAACTGTGAAATATGCATAAATATGCTGATTTTAAGAGCTCAATAGGCTTCAAACTTCCGATAACATGTTGCGTTGCAAAGACAACAAACGTCAGATTTACACGACTGCTAGACTGCGCAATAGTGTACTATTGTAAACTCAAGCATGCCAGTCTATTGTTTTTGAAGCACTACTCAACTGGGATATTCTACTCTAAGTAATAAAGGTACTTGAAAGTACTAACTGAACGGAATTTTTGTATAACGAAAAATCATCAATTATATTTTTGATTTAGCATTACAACCGGGAATGGGGGAAGGTGGGTTTCTTTACTATTTCTATGAAACGACATTTTAGGAATTGATAACGTAACTATAATATTTTTTAAAAAGCTTTTTATGTATCTGATATACTGAAAAGCATCGGACTTCATTACTGAAAATGTAATTTAATTCAAGCTCCTACCGCATTATCAAATTAACTTATAAATTGAGGAAGAAAAAAAAGATAACGACCAGAACCCCATCCACATCCTGTTTATGTAAATCAAAAATGGTTGTCAGAATTTTTTTCAATCATAATTGTAACGAAACAGACTGAATCTTCATTTGCATGTCAAATATATACATTCTTTTTAAATTAACGAAGATAACCCTCCCTGTTTCTGTTTTCATCTAAAAATACGTGGTAAAACTACTTTCAATCCGTATTAACTCCGAGATTATTATAGATAATAGCCGACGATGTTCCGATTGGTTTTTATATTGTGGTTATGTGTTTATGATGATGCACTATGTATAATATCAATAAAAATGAATTATATTTTTGTTAAAGCTATGTTGTGTAAAATGATATATGAAAGATTCCGCAATAGCTATTCTTCATTTATATTTTTAATCGTTTTTGGTTGTTATTTTTACTGATTCAGCTCCTTACAAAAGATATTTTATGTGATCAGTTATGCACATGATACTTTCCAAGCGTCAATTTACATGTATATATGCCGTTGTTTCTATTTCTTTACAGTTAATGACTTTGTAGAAAAATGTGGAAATTTGAAAATTAAGCAACCAGCTTTACTTGGCAGGAACGTCACTTTTACTTTTACACCGGACTCATATGATTCAAATGCAATTCTGGAATGGCAACGTGCAGCTGAAGGAAACCCATGGTATACTCGTCCCTTAACATACAAGTTCACACAGTATAATAAAAATGGAACATACTTCATGGTCTTAAAAGACAGTTTAGCTGCAGACAGTTCAACTACAAATGACGAAGTTAATTACCGAATACATTATTACAACGAAAGCATACGCTGCCGGATGGAAACAGGAAAACTTGAACTTGATGGTAATGCTATTTCTTATCAATGCCATTTAGATGGCACAAGTAAGTAATTAAGAATTTAGAAAACACAAAAATGTGAAAGCGATTTAAGCCATTTTACAATTTCAAGGACATTCATGAAGTTATGACTGTAGTCCATATTCATAGTCTTTTAGTTTTAAATGAGTTGCGGTGCATATATACGGGATTATTGGCGTCCGCGCCGAAGCGCGACGCCCCTTATGGAATGAAATCAGATTTTGTGAAAGGGCAATTGCTACTTCTCGGGCGTTTTCGTCTGTCATAATAGCCGATCATTCCGATTGGTATGAGGAAAAATGAAATATCGCGATATGTATAATTAATAACGAACTGGAGAATTTCGCAATGCAAACATATACAAATGAAATTATCTTATCCGTCAATTAATCGCGCTCTTCGGTTTGTTTTATTAATCATGTAGGTTTATTATGTATGTTACTGCTGTACCAATAAAAAGAATGATGACCTTAACATTGTTAAGGTCTGAAAATCTATCTATAAAAGTAGTTTACGGTCATTCGTGTTGCGCTATGACTGGAGAATTTTGCAGAAACATATTCAAACAATTAATTGAACTCTTTATAAATCTATAGTAAAAAATTAAGTAGGCCATTTTTACGAATTGTTGTATCATAGAAATTGTCTTTTTCGTAGGTCTCGATCTCCGGTTTTCATTTTTACGGCCCTGATTGCACCGTGAATATTTAAATAGACCTAGTTCATAACTTTAAATGTCGCCTTTATTTTGGTTAACAGGTCAAGCAGTAGTATACTTTAAAACCTATTCGCTGTTCAAGTCTCTTAATGTAACTATTAAGAGTAGTATGGATGGAATATTCATTTGCCGAATATTGTGACATTCTAACAACAGAAACTTTCGTCTGAACTTTTAACATGAGTTGTTATGGGCTTATTGATAGGAATGTAAACACTCGGGTGAGTCAGACGAGGTATTTTGAAGTAATTCATTAAAAAAGTAGATTGACCTCCCAATAAATCAATAAGACTTTGTTCATTTTGACTGCTATTTTTTATGTTCCAAAGGAAATACCACATGAACTTGAAATTCTAACAAATAACCAATATAGTTTGAATACCCAAAAAATTCAAATATAAAAAAATTTAGAAATTGGGGAAAAAATTTTGGAATTAAAACTTTATAAATTTGGAATTACAAATATGAAAATTTAAGTTCCCTTGGGAAAAATTTTTTTGCAGTTTCCAAAATTTAAAAAAAAAACTGTTTTTGCCCAAATTTAAAATAAAAGGAAAAAAAAAAATTAAACATTGATTAGAAGTATTTATCTTCCGTGATTTCCTGATTTATTTTAAATGCTTTTTGGGTAAAGGGGAAAAAAATTAAAAAAAATGGTTAAAAAATTTTACTTTGAAAAAAATAAAAATCAACCCCTTTTACTGAAAATGGGGTTTTTAAAAAGGAAAATCGCATTAAATAAAGAATTTTTACCATAACTAAATTTTTTTAAAATCTCAAAATTTATTTTTTAAAGAAATTTACCAAAACGGGTAATTACCCAATCTGGAATTTGAATTTTTAAAAAGAAAAAAATCAAAAATAAAACAGTAAAAGAATTATTAAAAACCAATTTATGGGGGGTTTAAATGGGAAATTATCGAGTTTTTAAAAGAAAAATTTTCGGGTCTTTTTGAATTTGTCGCAAAAAAAAAATTTTAAAATTTAAAAGCAAAATTTGACTTTCAATTTTTTTTTCAAAAAATTATGCGGCAAAAAAACTTCAATGAACTTTAAAAATTGAAATTTTTAAAAAAATTTTTTTAATGATTAATTTTTGAAAATTTTTACCCTTTTTTAAAAAATTTAAAGCCCCAATTTTTTTAAATCGACTTAAATTTTAAAAATTTTTGAAAATGTTCAAAAAATTTAATAAAAAAAATTTTTTAAACAAAAAAAAAAATTAAAAAACTTATTTTTTGGAATTGTTTTAAAAAAGGACAAACCCTTTTTCAGAAAACAAAAATTTTCTGTGTTTATTAAAGTGTAGTTTTTATTATTTAAAAAAAATTAATATTACGATTTGGTTTCTAAAAAAAGCTTTTTCCGTTCGTTTTTGATTTTTGTTCCAAAAAAAAAAATAAATTTAAAAAAAGAAAAAAGAAATGGAATTTTTTTTATTTCCGGTAAAAATCAAAGGTTATTTATAATGTTGTAAAATTTTTTTATTCCCCTTGTTTTTGGGGCTTTAAGTAGGTTTTTAAATTTAAATTTAAAAAAAGGGGAAATTAATGCTCTTAGGGGAAAAAAAATCGTTGGGGAAAAATTAAATTTTTTAAAGGGGACTTAAATTTTAAAAATTTTTTAAATTTTATGTTTTTTGTTCCGGGAAAATACATTTTTTTTTATTTTGTTTTTTTTATTCACAACAGGTTAAAAAAAATTTTAATTTTTTAAAAAAATTTGTTTTTCAATTTTTAAAGTAAAAATTTTTCCCCCTTGGGTTTTGTTTATGGAAAATTTGAAAATTTTATAAAGGGGTTTTTTTATTTTATTTAAATATTTCCTTTTAAAAAAAGCAAAATGGAAATTTCTGCCCATTTGGGCTATAAAATGGATTTATTTTAAAAAATTTGGAAGGGGGTTTTAAAAAAGACAAAAAAAATGGGATTGACTACCCGGCCTATATAATGGATTTTGGGTTTTTTTGGAAAAAAGGTTTAAAAAACCCCCAATATTTTCCTGGGAAAAAAAAACCCATTTTTTACATATTAAATAAATAAAATTTTAATTTTTTAAAAAAAAATAATTTTTTTTTGGGTTTTTTTTAAAAACCCAAAAAAAATTAAAAATTTTTAAAAAAATAAAAAAATTTTTTGCAAAAATTTTTTCAAAAAAAAGGGGCTTGGTAATTTACTTTTTTTTTTGATTTAAAACACGGCAACTTTTAAAATTTTTTAGAAACAAAAATCCCAAAAACTTTTGGAATTTTTTTAAAATGGGAAATTTTTCTTAAAAAATTTATAGGAATTTGGGGGGTATTTTTTAAAAAAAGGGTATTTTCATTTTATAATAAATTTTATTTTTACAAAAACCAAAATTATTTCCCAAAATTTTTGGGCTTTAAAAGGAAATTTTTTTTTTTTTCCCGCTTTTATTTTTTTTTTACAATTAAAGTAAAAGTTTTGCGTTGTTGGCTAGGCCCCCCCTTAAATCAAACCCGGAATTTTACTATTGGTTGCGTCGTGTCCATCTTTTGGACTTTTTTAAATTTGAAAAATTTTATAGAAACCCCCCAAAAATCATTTTTGGAAAAAAGTTTCAAAATTTTTTGTGTTATTTTTATTTAAAAAAAAAAAAAATTTTTTCCCCCCAAGGGCCCTTTTAAGGGTTTAACATTATAAATGTAAAAAATCATTTTGGGGTTTAAAAAAAATTGAATTTTTTAAAAAAAGGGGGGATTTTATTTTAAATAAAAAGGGGAAATTTCCCAAAACAAGATGTTTAAAATTTGGTTTTGAAAATTTAAATTTCCCCAGAAACCATTCCCCAAAAAAACTTTTGGTTAAGAGCTTAAAATTACCCATCCCTTTTCCCAATTATTTAATAATAATACTTTGTAAAATTATTTTTATATTTTATATTTTAACTTTTTTATCAAATTGGGCCTTTTTTTAAAAATTAAAAAAAATTTTTAGGAATAGGGATTGAAAAAAGGTTTTTTTTTTTTTTTTGTTTTTTTGAGGGGGAAAAAATTTGGTAAGGGTGTTGTTTGTTTTTATTGGTTTTTTTTGGTGGGTGTGTTTTTTTGTGTTTTTTGGTTAAATTTTTAAATTGGTTTTTTTTGGGAAAAAAGGTGGGGTTTTTTCGTGGGCCCTTTTTTTTTTTGTTTTTTTTTAAAAAATGAGGGAATTTTGGGGGTTATTTTGTGTAAAAAAATGTGGAAGTTTTTTTTTTGTGTTTTTGGGTTAAAATTTTGTTTTGTGATAAAATTCTTTTTTAAAAAAAGTTTTTTTTTTCTTTTTTTTGTTTTTTTGGGATTTTTTTTAAAAAAATTTTTTTTGGGGTTTTTTTAAAAATTGTGGGATTTTTTGTGGTTTTTTTTTTTTGTTTTGGGGTTTTTGTTTTATGGGGGTTTTTGTTTTTGGGGGGTTTTAGTTTTTTTAAATTTATTTTTTGTTTTTTTTTTTTTTAAATTTTGCCTTTAAAAAAAATTTTTAAAAAATTTTAAATTCAAAATAAAATGAATTTTAGTTTTTAAGTTAAAAAAAAATTTTTTTTCATAAAAAAAAAGGGGAAAAAAAATTTTTTAAGATGGGGAAAAAGTTTTTTCAGACGGGTTTGATTTTTAGGGAAAGGTGGAATCAACAAAGTAACCAAAAATAATTAAAAAAGAAAAAAAAAAAAAGGGGGTTTAAAAAGGGTTTTGTCGGGGGGGAAAGGTTTTCAGGTTCGCTGTGAAATGAATCTTGGCTCGCTAAAATATGAAAACAAAAATCAGCAAGGAAAAGGTGGGGTTCAATTTACCTTTTTGAAAAGGTGAAATCTCGGGTTTTCGCGAGGGCCCCGTGAACGCGAGAGACGAGCTTGGGGGAAACGGGGGCACTGAATGGAAAAAAAATGTAAACAAAAAAAAGTTTTCCACCAAAAAGGATTTTAAGGATTTCTTAAGTGAAGTTAAATTGGGCTTAATTTTACATAATTGTAAGAATTTTTGGGGAAAAGTATGGAATGCATTTTGTAAAAAAGAGGTAAAACTGCTCCAAATTTTACGTAAAAAGTGGGGGGGGTTAATGTAAACAAAAATCTTGATTACCATAAATTATCACCCATTTTATTTTAAAGGTTGGAAAACAATGTTAATAATGACTTAATTTTTGGTTAATATTTATTTTATGCATTGTTCATTAATTAGGTTTTTTAAATTTAAAAAAGTGTGGGGTAAATTGGTAAAAAATAGGCCCACCGTGGGGTTTTTTAATGTTAAAAATACATTTGTACTCAAAATTATACTAAATAACAATTTTTTTAAATTAATTTGAGGTTTCTTGGGTTGTTGATTATTGCTGTGTGCCCTTTTTGCAACCTAAGAGAAGCCCTGAAGTCCTGTCAAAAATTTCTAACAATACTCACAAAACCTAAGTGGCTATATGAAAAGTGGCAAGCACCATTAAAAAGGTTTTCAAAAAAGAAAAGGGCAAAAACAAAAGTGGGAAGCAAAGATAACCATTATTTTTGCTGCCATTTTTCGGAGGAGGAAAAATCTACAATTTTTCTCCTAAATGTTTTTAGCCTGAAGAAAACTTGTTTTTCCATCAATATTTTCCTAAAAAATTGACAAGCCCCAAAAAAGCAGAAACCCCCCAAAGGGACCAACAAGAATATCTCCTCCATGTCAAAAAGTAAAACCAAGAAAACTTTTATTTTTTTAAGTAGTTCTCTTTTTATTTTATTTTTGTTTTTTAAATACACTCTAAAAATTTGTATAACTTTTAGTTTAAAAAATCTGAAAAAAATAAAGCAAAATTAGCAAAATAAACCCGACACACAAGTAAATTGCACATAAAGGGACAGTTCACATCACATTAACATAAAAATATACTCAAATTTTTTAAATTTTAATTTTTTCTTTTTAAATGATGAACTATTTTAAATGTTAGTTTAATTTTCCAGCAATAATCATATTTTTTGTTAATTAATTTTTTAGGCAACTCCATCGGTGCGAAAAAAAAAGCTTGAGCGAATTCAAAGGGGTGAACAAATTAAGGTTATGAGGGGAAAAGAAAGATTTGAGTACTAGTAATTGACCGGGGTTGGGGGAATTTCACTTAAAAAAAACTTTATAGTAAAAATTAAAAAAAATTTATATTTTGCAAAACTTCTCACATAAGTGGGGCAGGGCTGGGGTTAGCATGTTACTAGTAATCTAATTTGTAACCCCAAGGTTCAAACCTTTGGGGGCAAGATTTTTCCCCTTGAGCAAGAAAAACATTCTGCTTATTTTGGTTGGGGCCCGGAAAAGAAAACAAGCTTAATAACTTATTCTTCCCAACCAATCTTTTTAAAACAGCAAACAAAATTAATCTGTATAAACAATTAGCTATTTATATTTGAATTGCCCGTTCTTTTAGGTATTTTTGTAAGATAAAATTTTGTATATACCTTTAATTTAATTTTTTCTTTAAATTGTTTATGAAAAGTTTTTCCCCTTATGTACTTTAAAAAAACAAGTCACTATAAAAGGTTTTATGAAAAAAGTTCCATTTCATGAAACCTTTTAAGAACTATGTACCTGTTGATAAAATAAAACACCGTTTTTAATGGGGAAAATTTAATCATTATTTTAAAAAATTGTTTTCATTGAAGAGTCAATCAAAGAAGGAAGGGAGGGAAAAGGCCTAGGAGGAGATGTGGGGGTTTTCTGGCCATGTTATGTGAAAACACAGACGATGAGTATCTTTTGACTCCTTGAAAAAAGAACGAGTTTTGAAGTATGAATTTGAAACCGCCAAAAGTGATGAAAAATCAGCAGATAAATTTTCAGTAATGAAGAAAATTTTAGGTTTCTCCTGGTAATGCCCAAAACAAAACCAAAGATTTTTAAAAACATCAGGCTTTTATTATATGAAATTTTTTGAAGCTTTATATAAATACTTAGAGCCCAAGGGGTTCTTTTATAATACCCATATGGAGAAAAAGCTTTCACATTTCTTTCCCCCCTTTCTTTCCTGGTGTAACTCGCAAAATTTGTTTAAGAGAGGAAATGATGATTTGTCCCTTTCGAGTAGGTTTCCGGCGACATCAATGATTATGTTTGCTGATCAACTTTTCTCTTTGCTTTTCCGCGTGGTAGTTTATGGATAGAATTGGGAAAAAATCTGCAAAGTACAAAAAGAATGTGACAACCCAACTGAAAAAACCGAGTGTTTTCTGAATTTTAGAATTGAAAAATTTTTAATTTTTTTTTAAAAAGCTTTTTCATTGGGAGAATAAACAAGTTTTTTCTAATTAAAAATTAGTACATGAAATTTCTAGTGGCTAAAAAACCGTGGACAAAAACATAATTATCGGAAATGTATGGGGCATTTTCTACAAATTTTTACTAGTGAAAGTGTTTATTTATGGGGGCCCCTTAAACCCCGGGGAAGGTGTGGGTTCGAGGTTTACGTGTCAGAAAACTTACCCCCTGTTTTTAATTTTGTTTGCCTTTTATTTAAGCACAAAAAATAAAACGCAATTTTCAAAAGGAAAAAGTTTAAAAGAAACAAAAAAAATTTTTTTTGGTAAAACATATAGAATGCATTAGGATAAAACAATTTTAAATATTTTTTAAAGAGTGAAAAAACCCGAAAAATTTACGAAAAAAAGTTTTAAAAAATGTGGGATCTTGTCAATTTCCCAAAAGTTTTTCCCGAGCTGAAAACCTTGATGAAGTGTGCAAGCATAAAAAAATTTATGGGTCAAAAATCGTTTTGGGACCCCGCCCTTTTTACAAAAAAAACTTTTAGTGGGATTGTATTAAAGAAAAAATATTGATTACTATTAAGTTGTTTTATTTTTGAGAAATATCTCTGTATTATTTTTTTTTAAAAATGTTGTATTTTGGGCCCAAAAGATTGAATGTTATAAATTATATTAAAATATTTTACTGGGGGTTTCTTATTATGCTCAGTTTTAGTTTTGTAAAAACCTCTTTACAATAGGTGTGACCTGATATATTAAATTCATTTAAATTTTTTTATTTTTTTAGATAATTTTTTTTTTGTATTTTTTGTGTTTGGGATGGTGCTGACTAGATTTTATAAAATTCAATGAAGTTATTTTTTTTAAAGTTTTTTTTGTCAGGGGGTTTTACGATGTGTTTACTTGAAAAACAGTTATTTAATTTTTTTTTGGGGTTTGTGCGTTTTTTTTTTTTTGAAAATGCTATCTTTTTGCCATGTCTTTCAAATTTTGAGGGGCTAAACCATATCATATAAGCACTAATCTATAATTATTTATCTTTTTTAAATATTAGTACCCTTTTTTTTTATTAAAGCTATTGTCCTTTGTTACAATATGTGTGTTTTTATAGTTATTGTCTATTTTGGCCCGTTTATTTTTTTTGTAAAAACTTGTCTATTTTTTTTAAAAAGTCTTTCACAATTATTGGGTGTTTAATGATATCATTAAATTTAAAATGCAAGGATTTTTTTTTATAGTAATGGTTACTTTGTTAAATTGTTGGTGATGATATTAAGTTGTATGAAAAATTTTTTCTTTTAAAATAAAGTTATTTTCATTGATGTTCAATAATTGATTTCTGGGTCTATATCATATGGGCGCATGCAAAAACTAGTGCTTGCGCCAGATGGTCCCGATCAGACTGCGCGGTCTGTTCGTTTTTCAGTTTCCTTATTGCTATAGGATTGAACCCCAAAAGTATGGTCCTGTATACTGCAGGTGCGCGGTGGTCTGGATCGTGTTTGGGCGCAAAAACCCATTGTTGGTTCTTATGACGCGTCATAATTCTACTTTAAGCTATTTATTTTTAGGTTTTATGTAAATTTGTGAGGTTTTCAAAGATGTGGACCCGTATCATTAAAAAGTTTTCTGCAAGGGGTTTTTTAATTTGTTCCTTTGTTTATTCTTTACATAGGGGTTTCTATTTTTTGTGTGTGTAATTCTTTAGGACTGAACACTGAGTAATGTGTACTTTTTAAGTTTTTTTTTGTATTTGTTAATCTGTGTACTAGTTCTGTTGCCATTTCTTTCTCAGGAAAATACATACTGATTTGTTTTTTATTATATTAAATTTGGAATTTTAACCCCAAGTTATTCAAAATTGTGACATTTTCCATTATTTTTTTCATTTTATGAAAAAATTTTGTCAAAAATTAAATTTCTTAAAGATGTTTTTTAACCCCGCAGCATAGTTTGTGATTGATCTATTTCGCCAGTTCCTTTCTCGTTACCGGGGAAAAAATTCTAACGCGACATTTAAATTTGTTTCTCTATATACATTTAAAAAAGGGTATCGGTTAGGTTTATTATGGGCTTGTTATTATCAAAACTCTTCAAATTTCTCTGCGATTCCTGATGTTTTTGAATTTTCAGACCAAATGAAAAATTTCAGAAGGGGGTCCCGTTTCTATAACGTGGTTTGTGCAGCTCACGCCTTCACGGCGGGTTTTTCCTAAATATTTCTGGTTAAGGTTCGTCATCGACGATAACAAGTACTGCATCTATTTTCAAACCCACCACTATGGTATACGGTAATAATATCACACTAACCATGTTTAAAAGGGAATGGAACGGAGTGAACATCTTCTGTTGTCGTCATAATAAATGGTACAGTACGCCTAGAAAATGCTCCGAACCAAAAAAAGTTAACTTCTTGTGTAAGTGTTTTCAAACTTAATTTTGTATTCATTAATTACATGTGACAATAACACGATTTTTAAAATTTTATTGCAAGGATTAGCACAAAATCTCCTCGCTGATTACACTGTTTGGACAACAGTCAAATATATTTACTTTTCTGACAAAAAAAGCAAACTGGAACAATGCTTGGGAATATAATAATTGTCCTCTTAAAATAATAATAAAAAACAACCACGTAAAACATACAATATTTTTACATCGACTTATATTTGCAAAACCAGTAAGAAGGCATAATTCAACAACAAAGTACGCGGTATTGATTGACAATTATCTGTTTTACATGAAAACCCGTATACTGAGACACTCTAAATAACCATTAGAATAAATTATAGTTGAATTTAGCAGAGGAAAAGGACAATAATTCTTACCTAAGTATATTGAAATGAATTAATTGATTTCATTAATCAAGTCAAACAATTCATTTATGATATATTTCCAATATGATTTTTCAGTTCCTCCATCTGACATCAAACTTGAAATAAAATATGACTCTGTAGATCCACTTCGTATGTATGCTGCATGTACCCTGAACAATTCCAATCCGGCTTGCAGGGCTAATTTTAGGGCAGCAAGCGAAGTCATTGGTTTAGAAAGGAACTCAAGTAACACGAGTCTCCCACGTGGTGCGTGGAAAACAAAGTATGTCGTTCGCTTGAATGTCAGTAAAGAAGACGATGGTAAAGATGTAACATGTGCTGCCGAATGTGCAGACTTCCAAGACCTGGAACTCAGAGATACAAAAACAATAAAAGTCCCATGTAAGCTGATTATTATTAATACAGAAGTTACGCATCTTATTTGATGGTCACTTATATAGTTTCAATTGAAAAAATAATTTCAGTTCATAAATATCAAATGATGGAATTGAAGTTGTAGGTTTTTAATGTTTACAAATGTTCATATACATTTGTAATTGTATATCTGCGCATGATGCTGCTGTTTGTTTCTCTGTAATATTTTAAGCATTATCTACGTTGGTCTTTATAATAATGATTTCTTGAACCTTGTTTATCAAGATTAAAAATGGCAACTTAGGTGAGATCATGCACATTGTTTTTTTTTGTTTCAAGTAAACATCATGATTACCTTTTACATTATCAAACAACTTAGACAATTTAAAATAGTTAAAGATATTTATAAAATAAAAAAAAAATAGTCAACCAATTCTAAAAACGAAGATTTGAAGGGGAATTTCCAGAAATTAAAGTTATTTAATAATAATAAATTTAAACAATAATATGATAGATACAATTGTAGTGTTTTGATTTGGATATTTCCATTTGTTGATTAAATTCGCAAACACTTTCATTAAAGTTCTTTATTCTTAATAATATATTATACATGATAGATAGACAGACATTTATGTCAATCAGATAAGGCTTATACGCCCAGGACGACATGTTCTCAGCGTACACATGCAAAAATACAAAACAATATTATATAGAGCATAGAGATTGATATATCCTAATACATGCCTTTATGAAATTTACGTTATTAGAACTATTTTTTTCTTTTTTCTTTGTATTAAAAAACGAGCAGCCTTCTACTTATTAAGGACATTTATATCACAGGAACTTGAAATTCTATCAAATAACCAATATTAATTATAATATCCAAATATACCCCCTATATTCTGTTTTTTTTATAGTATGTAGGGGTATATTTCGCATATTATCGTTAATAGTGATAGAATTTCAAGTTCCTGTGTTTATATACATGTAGTTATTTGCTGTCCTCAAATAGGCAAGCATTAAGTTTCATATTTATTCAAAATAACAATTAAAAGCTGTACGCCTCCAAGTGAGCCAAACAATTTCAGGAATATCAAACTAAAGAAAAATATCCTACGGTTTCAAGAAAAAAGTAACAAGATCCAGAATCCAAGTAATTTACATGTTGTTTACAACTGACAGTTGAGTTTGCAGAATTAAATACCATATTGAACGCAGTAAGGGTTATTTTTGCATAGTTTGACCTGTTTCCTGGTAATAAACAAGGATTGCAAGTGCCGTTTGTAGTACGAAAATTACTTTTTGTTTAGCCACATTGTTTTACATTGAAATACATGTTCATTTTTTTCATATGAAAATTAGCATGAATCTTGAATATTTAACTGTAATCACTGTAAAATCTTATTATTCACTGCAGTGACAGACTATATACATTGTTATTCAATAAGATAAGCACATAAGTTTTTGTGACACTGTGAACCTTTCTTAATACAAATCATCAGATAATAAAGTTCAATGTGTCTAGAACTATATAATTTTTCTGACCCTGAGCGGGTACATGTGACATGTGTGGCGAAATGAGTTTCCGCCTCTAATAAACAACCATTGATAACGGATCTTATCTATTGGCAACATGATTATATTTAATAAGACTTAAATTCCAGACCACCCCGTCATAAAGTTCAACATTTCTGGACCAATGTTAAGTATTACTAAAGGAGAAAGAGCACAAGTTAAATGTATAGCTGATAGCTTCCCCGCTTCTAATATATCTTGGATTGAGAAGACAGATAAGGGAGTCAAAGCCAAGAAGCAATGTGATAACAAACAGGAATGTGTGTTAGACGTAAATGCAGATGTCATCTCTAGGCAACACTTTGTGTGTGCGATACGCTATTTGCAATTCAACGATAATAAAACTTTGATTATTAACATCCACGAACCTGGTAAGAAAGATCTTGTACATTCTTTTCTTCTTTTTTTCTTTTAAACTTACATCAGATCAGGATGAAAATACAATGTTGTTAGAAGGCAATCCTAAGTTTTGTAATTTAATTTGCTATGGTAACGATGATGTGTTATGTTGCTTTTGCGCATTTAGTCTTTGATCATTTCTAAATGTCTCGTGTTTTTTTCTCTTAGTAAAACATTAATCTGGAACTACGAGTGTATTCTGGCACATTGCTACAATATCTGCCGATGAAATGAATTTGAAAACGGTGCAATAAGAAATAAATATATTCACCCAGTCCACTGTTTTCGCTTGTTAGAAAGGAGATATTGAATGAATGTAGATTTAATACTGATATTATGCGAGCCTCAAGCGAGCGTGAGACTGTTCAATGAATGTAGTATTGAATCTACGCGAATATAATATTCTATTCATCACATGTTCAAAATAAGATCGGTTTACAGTTAAAAAGAATATTTTTTCATTGATACGTGTAATGCTTACATGCTTTAACGCTATGTTTGTATACGTAAATGACGTCACGTCAAAGTGTTATTACACTAGCTAAGTGTAATATCTTGTTAATTAAATTGGTTTTCGACAACCATGCGCCTTGGTTTACCTATTAAACAGTGTTTCTATGAATTAAGACAAACCGTATTAAATTGATTTCAGTTAATAAACAAGTCAAAATGAAGATCTCACCATTAATTTAGTCATATAAACTGCGCTCATTAAGTAATATAAACTGCGCTCAATTAGTCATATAAACTGCGCTCAATAGTCATATAAACTGCGCTCATTTAAATGACATATATGTGAATATTATTTGACTTAACTGAGTGCCATTAAACATTTATTTCACAAAATTTCAGACAGTGTTATAAATGTGATACTTATTGCCGGAATATGCTCAGCGCTTCTGGTAATAGTTGTCATAGTTGTCTTAATCATCAGAGACAAACGGAACAATGATCAAGGTAATCTATACATATTAGTTGATGTAACAAATAAAAACATTAATTGTTGGAACAACTCCCTATAACACTTTGATTTTTTAAATGCACAAAAAAGTCCATTAAAGTAATATATGGTCAAAAATGGAAACCTTAAAAGAACGTCCAAAACGGCACAATCGAAATGTAGCAGTGTTGGTTTGGTTGTGCCTGTTCCACGGACACTTATGTGACATTCAAAATTGCGAAATTTGAATAAAAAAGCATCCACATATGTGTTCATTTTGCGGTTATTATGATAAATTTAGTGTTACGTGCTATTCCATGTAAAGCTGCATATGATTCCCAAGTAAAAAAAAACGAGAATAGAATCAGAGGAACTTAATAAATTTGAATTGGGAAAGGGTATATATGCATGTATTTTATTCTAAGCTTAATGAGGATCTATCCGCCCTTTCAGGCACTGGGAGTACGGACTCATCACAAGTAAACAATTTAATGGTTGAGTACAACGCATTTAAATACATGTACAATGACATAAGTCCTTGCATTACATCAATATTGATTCAGAAGTACGTCCTATCTGTTACACCGATGTTACGAGGCCTGGACCATGACATGCACTTTCCAGTATCGTCCATAAACAGGCTCAATCAAACCGAGCCTGCAATGTTTTCAATTTTGCGTTTTAGGTGTTTTGTATGGATCCATTTTTCTCTTTTTTATGCTTTCACATTACTATCACTGACACTTTAAACATTGAAGAAAGTATAATCATCGATTGTTTATTCATAAGATTAAAATTTTTTTCAGCGAAACATGAAACAGTTCTTGAAAGAAACAGTCTTCCTTTGCGGTTTGTTTATATCATATACTATTTACCAATATTATACTTTGACCATTGACATTCAATTAAAATATTTCCATTCACCTCATATCCAAAAGCAGTTAATATTCAGCAAAAAGTAAATATCGAAATCATTACAAGTTTAAAGATAACTCCTTTATGCAAAAATCGTTTTACAAATAAACTAAATTTGTATTTTATTACGGCATTAAGATTCTTGTTTTGTTAATAATAATGGCAATAAAATAAATAAACAAATAAATTAAGCAAGTATTTCAAATTGTATTTTTATACTTAGCAATAAGGCAAATAGGTAAGTATTTCAACCTGAATGTTTATAATAAGTAATCAATCAAGTTGTTAAGGCTGCATTTTAACACATAGCATTAGGTAATTATTTCAGATTGCAATTCAACACTTAGCAATTAGATAAGAAAGCAAATTAAGCAAATTTTACAGGCTCTATCTAAACCCTTAGCAATTGGTCAAGCATTTCAGCCTATATTTCAATACTTAGCAATGTTACAAGTATGTAAGCCTGTATTACAATCAGACAAGATTTTCCGACCTTTTTTGCTAATACTAAGAAAAGGAATGAAATAAAATGAACAAAACGGCATATATATTATCATTAAATTTGAAAATTCAGAGAAAATGAATATAATGAAACAAGAAACGATGTTGTCGATGCAGACGATCAGATGGAAGTTGCATATTCCCAACAAATAAAGAAGCAAAACGTTGCCACAGTGTGTGAGGATACATATGCTGAAGTAGATAAAACAAGAAATAAAGAACAACCAGCTACATGTTCAGCCACCGAGAGTCAGGTATACATTATATGTTTCACGTTAAAACCATTAGTGCAAGAAAGTTGTGTATAATCGTAAAGTTTCAGGCATCAGTTTATGTGTGCAAACATAATGTAAATAAACATAAAGTAAGAGGCGGCATTTATACATGTTTGGGATGCATTAATATATAATTAACCACAACTACTGGACAAGTAAATAAACCAAATATGGCTAAAATATTTAACTGAATGTCTCGTTACAGTTACACTTTCTTCAGATAATAATATCGGGGCGTCCGTGGCCGAGTGGTTAAGGTCGTTGACTTTAAACCACTTGCCCCTCACCGCTGTGGGTTCGAATCCCGACAGGGACTTTGGATTCTTTCATGTGAGGAAGCTATCCAGCTAGCTTACGGAACGTCGGTGGTTCTACTAAGGTGCCCGTTCGTGCCTGAAATAATGCACGGAAGGGCACCTGAGGTCTTCCTCCACCAGTAAAGCTGGAACGTCGCGATATGACCTATAATGTGTCGATGTGACGTAAAACCCAAAAACAAACAAACAAAAGATAATAATATCAAAATATCTACAAAAGATATTGTCTAGTGAATACACTTGTCACAACCAAATTTCTTGGTGCCTGTTTTGAGATTGATAGATCTAGTTCCGTGAAGCATTTTTCATTACATAAACATTACAATCTGAGTCTCTATCAATCTGCGATAAAAGCTTTTAACAATTCCATATCTTTACTCTACACTCGAATTGAAAATCTTTTTAAAAGGATCAAAATGTCTGCAAGGATTATAATTTCACCATTTTTATTTTAATCTTTTAAAAAATGTTTTCTAAAAAAATTGGATGACTTCTTCTCATATCATTTTCCTTGTGTACTTATAGTTTAAGCTTTTTACAAATGCTTTAATAAACATGTTATATTTACATATAACTTTTACATTTTTCTAGATTATGGTTTTAAATTGCCTTTTAATAAATTTCCTTCTTCATTTAACATTCCTTAAATACAATATTAGATGAACGTCAGAAAATAAAGTTTGACTTACTACTTATTTGATAACTCTCATTTAAATTTATCAATATACTTATTGCAAAAAGCAACAAAAGAAAAAGATAGATCAAGCTTAGAGTATCTTTTTAAATTTATAACTGTTACAGAACACAAGCAATGAAAGCTATGAAACATTTAAATAAAGCCATTGATAGGACATAAAAGGCCTTTTTCAGTTAAAGTTTGCTTCCATTAATGGATAAGCACGGAAGTGTCTGTGCATTATTAATGTTCTTGATCGTAAAAAATTAATACGTCATATTTAATTAAGAGTGGATTTTTATATTAATACAGAAACATAACATATATTATATTCAACATAAAATTGTTTTCATACAATTTATAGTCAGATATTTCAGATACTGTGTGGTGTAAAGAGTTATAAGTTACAGTTAGTTACCAAACAATGGTTTCGACATATCTAACAGAGTTTGCATATGTAAGAAATAAATGTTCTTGAACACAGTAGAGAGATATTTGTTTACGTTGTATTAAATAATTATCCACCAATTAAACAGCAATTATTAATATTTCTAGTGTGACATAACCGTTATATTTTCTAAGCATTTGTTGTCGTAGTTTTCTCCCTTTTATCAGTCTGCATATGGAAAAAGAAGTTGTATGGATACTAAAAGGCTAAAATGTAAAGTTTTGTCATTTATTTAAATGCATAATACAGATAACTTGCTAGATTATTAAATGTTTTGATATTTGTGCTTGCCATCAGTGTTTCGAATTTCTGCCGTGAAGACAATCTACAAAAATGTGGTTTAATGCTACCTTCTATGTAAGTTATAATATTTTGGGTATATTAATAAAAATGATATTCTGTTTCTACTTAATGTAATGGACAATTTCAACATTTTCTGTTTTCTCTTGGAATATTATCGTGCCTTTCTTTTTCTATCTCCATATTGTGAGCTGATAGTGTAAATTTGGTTAAAGTAATCCTATGGTAACGCTTATATAATTTTCACACTGAAATTCTTGTTTAAAATGACTCTTAGACGAAAGTTTGTAGATTTATATATGTTTGAATACCAAATTTGTTTATAAATATCTACAATTCTCAGTTTGATGACACATACATTAATATCAAAATTATCTGGTTGTAGCCAGACGTTAGGCATTCCTATTTGGTTCCGTATATTTTTTATTTGATTCATTTCTCGTATGATAACTCATCATCTGCATTTCCTTTAGGCATGTTGTACATTTTTAAATAATTGAGTTATTAGGTGACTTAAACATTATGATTTGGCGGTGTACTGCCATTGGATATATCCCTATTTCTCCATATAACGGATGCAAAGGATCTTTCGATGAAATTTACAAGCACAAGTTCAATATTTTTACAATCATAATATCCAAACACTTCTCCGCTATAATTTAAGATGGATCCTACTAATGTATCAAATAGTTTACATTTATCACGAATCTTTAAATCTAGTTGGTGAAATACTGTCAAAAGGTTATGCATAGAAAATAATAGAAACAATAAGTTTATTATGTAGATGTTATTCTTTTCTAAATAAGTTTTACCAATTAATTCAATTAAGGTGACAATATACCAATCCAAATATAAATGGTGAGTGCAAAGGTAAAAGTTGAAATAACTTGTGATTTTTGTAAAATTGTGTTCAATTTATATTTTACTATGTTAAGATTATCAATAAAATCCATGTAACCCACGAAAATATCTTTAAAACTTGAGAAGTGTATCGGTAGAGTTCAATTTTTTTAAAAAAGGAGAGTCTTTTTATATTTTAGGTAGTCTATATTTTATCCTTAACATTTTTCATTATCAATTTGTGGTCAATCACCATTATTATACTAGTCAATCTCTTGAAATATGTATTACTTAATTAACTCAACTTGACAGCGTAAAAATGAGCTATGACACTTTAAATGAATTGTATGATAAATCGATAATTCAATTTCGTTCATGTTTATATTTGAAGAATCTACTGTCAAAATTGATTGTTTAATATTTCTTTGAGAAAGTAATAAGATAGTCCATTTTAGATTTTAATGACCTTTTAATACTGTTTATCCTTTATTAGCAACATTGTTTCTAAACACATGTTTTTAACAAAAATTTTATTTGCAAATATTCATAGATAACGTGTGAATTTTAAAGAAAATCATTCCAAATTATCGGTGGTTATTTTATGTTTTTTAAAAAATAATTTATAGTTTTCATGATAACTGAGAAAATCAATCAATTAGTTGTTCTGATTATTGAATTTCGTTTCATTAAATTTTTCAGCGCACTGAAGATGGACAGCTTATGTATGTTGACCTGGAGTTCAATGCAGATAGAAAGATGCCAAAAGAAGCTGTCGTCAAGCGGCGTGATTCACCTACTGAATACGTTGGTATAGATTTCGCAAAGACTGCAGCTTATGTTGCTGAAGAGAATGACACGACAGAAATGGACAGTATCTATGTAAATCAGTAAATTAAAAAAAGAAAACCCACAAAATCATCATTGATTAAAGAACGGCATATATTCATGGAATCTATGTGAGTTATAAATTGCAGACAGAAAAGATATATATGAAAAGATGTAACAGACATCTGGAAAAAGGCACGCATAGAATAACCGAATAATCATATTTGTGTGAATTTTGTATTATTGTTATTACTGGAATCACAGACATCTTGGTCCAGGCACGAGACATTATACGCACCAAGAAATATAAAACCTGAAAAGGTTAGGGTCTTTTGTTGCAAATATTGGCCATCAGTGTTTAGCAACAAGCATTTGCAAAATTTCATGTGACCTGCTTATAATAAAAAGCAAAACAGGTAAAAGGTAGGGTTTGTGAAATAAACGTTTTCATGAAGTATACAGTTTGATGACTCACACATCTTAAAATAGCTGTGACTGTTTTATCTTCATCGAAAATTTCTTAAATGATGCATGTACTTTTAAGTTCTCGCAATTATGTTTATATTGTAGTTCTAGTGTAAGTCAAAAAAAAAAATTCCAGTTTATTTTAAACATGGATTTCCTTATTTGACATGTATAATAATTACCCCTATAAAATGAAATAACGTTTTTTGACAATATACATGATTTACCTTAGACAAAGCCTAAGAAATGGATATTTGGAAATCTAGTAGGACACTTAAAACGGGAAAATAAAAGATGGTAAAGGAATGTACTCGGAAATTGAACAAAAATCTATCTTATATGCAATTCTTAGCCGCTTTTCATTTTTGGATCATTTACACAATATGAATTGTAATTTTAGAAACACGAAGTGAACGAATTTTTACCAGTTATTGGTTCAGACCCATATGTAATGGTACACAAATCTCAGAATGATATTTCTAGTCGCTTCATTAAACTAACATCAGTGGAGTGGCATTATGCTTATCCTAAGGTATAAAGACAGTGAACAGGTGAAAGTTTTAGTTTACAGTTTGCCATAATTTATTTCAGTTCTACAGTTTACCTCGCATGAATGATAACTAACTCGTGTGTTATAAGGGAATATATGTAAATATCCATCGTAGTTTACCTAAAACAATTCAATTAAAAAGTGTTCATGTTTTTGGCAGATTTGTATTATATTCTAAACATTTTATAATATCATCTATTTGTCCATCACCATTATTAAGTCAATCTTTTAATATATGTAGTCATTTCAGCTCAATTTGAAAATTAACAAATGAGTATAATGTCACTTTAAAGTTACTTTCCCACACATAGTAGTTTAGGCGGTTTTAAAATAAATTGTCATCAAAAGATAGCATTTCACCACAGACTTGTACATTTATACGAAACTAGATGTATATACATGTCTTGTCCGGCGAAAATAATATCTAAGTAAAGTATTTGCAATGTTTATTCTACTGTGATTTTTAAACCGTTGTATCGTTTTATTTTGTACATATTGACTTAATTTATAAACACACCCGTTAACTGTTTGCAAGTAGACCAGTAGGTTGCTAGTAGAACAATTGCGCATGGTAAGTCTTTTATACTGCAATCGATTACAGCACAATATATTATAGAACATTATGTCACTAAAAAGAACAAAAAAGAGAAGAACATACCTAGGTAATCCAGTTTAAAACTGATGCTATATAGTAAGTTTTACCTGCATCAACTGTCCTACTAGCTTCGTGTTAACGGGTGTTATGAAAGGGGTGTTTATATCTATGCAACGTTAAACTAACAACACCTGTTAGAACACAGTTTTCTCATGGAAACTGTATTTTTCTTTCTATGCATATGCAATAACTGTCAACAAATATGTTGATGTGAAAGACCCGTTTTGTGTGGGAGAGTAGCTTTTACAACACACAAAAATAATAATCACAATAACATTTGTATGATTGAAGTATTCTTTACATTTGTTCAATTTAGTTGTAAGTTTCATGACGATATAACTGATGATATTTTGGCTATTCTCATTAATTTATTGATACATTAAATTCCATATATATTTTACAAATTAAACTGATTAAGCATATTTTCGTGTCTTTTTTCGTTTCGTAAATTAGTTATGCACAAGTCATTTGCAACCCCTCTTCTCATCAACAGAATATAGTATCAACTTTGAAAAATCAGCAAAACCGTGGTAAATTCCACGCACACATGGACAAGCAGAATTTAAAATCTCCGCATATGCGAAAACACCAAATACCTTGACTGGGGCGGTAGAATAAATCCACATGCTGTCCTAAACAGATTATTTTAGTCTATTCAAAATGTTTCCACAAGCCTCACAGTTCAAGAGGGAAATCCAAACTTCCCTGTCATGCCTAATACATGCATTTACGTTAAAAATGTCCTTGAACCTTAAAAAAACAAGAATAAATCATAGTCTCCCACAAAGTCCGTCAGTTGTAATTAAAAGAGGAAAGCGAAGCGTCCAACTGTAAAGGGTTGAACACCAAGCATGCGGTATGCCTTGAAATAATTGGGTCATAACCTCTTTTTATAAACCGTTTGATAATTTTAGTGAAGACGGCAGAAAATTACTATGACCCATGATCCTACGAAGTTTGTAAACCACATCTCTTTATAGAAATCAGGTTTGCTAATACCTAGTCCTAAAAGAGTTTTCAAATAATAATTAATTTTTAAAACGAAATCATAATTACGATGGTAAAACTAAATGGAAAATATTTACGCAATTTATGATAGCGATAGCCTTGTTTCAGAAGTTTGTTAGTAATAAATAAATAAATTGCGTTCATTAAAATCATCAGCAAGACTGCACGCCCTAGCAAATCTAATTAATTTAGAAATATATACCCCATAGCATGAGGTATATCTCCATCTAAATGTGGATAGTTAACAATATTAAAATCAAAATCATCTCTTTTATCGTAGATTTTAGTTACTATAGTATTGATAATAATAGAAATGTTTAGATCTAAAACAATGTAATAATGTCTGAAATTAGTTTTATTCAATATAAGTTCACTGGGATATAATTTAGAAACAAATTGATCAAAATAAGGAGTATTCATGTTAAGGATATCATCTAGGTAGCGGGAAGTGTTATTAAATGCATGTAATAATTTCCTGATATGAAGTAGGGGAAAGACTTAACATAAAATCCCTCTCATAGCAGTAAAGAAATTATCTGTTTGAAAACCGTATTACCAAACCTGACATACATGTTATCTAATAAAAACGAAAGTGCTCTACAAACTTCGTCACAGGTCCACATTTTTTATTGTTTAATGATACCATTGGTAAAGAAAGCCTTCTTTGAATTGCAAGCAAGAAACGTGACCTTTTCTCTTGCAAATGTTTTATGAATTGAATATAATAATTTATTATTTGTAAGATTATGTGGCAATATTGTATATAGGATAGAGCAATCGTAAGTACTAACAGATGAAGCTTGATAATTCTTAACTTTAAACTTATTTAAGATTTCAGTTGAATTTTTAACAGACCAAAAAAGATTATGCCCGTATTTTCATTAACTGTTTCAAAGTATCTAATGACATGTGCCTTGATGGCAGTAACACAATAAGTTAATGAAATAGAAAGATTACTAGTAGTACAAGATGTGGAATTAGCAATAAAGTGGGCTTTATATGGATATTTATGTTATCTTGGAATCCAGTACATGATAGGAAGTTTAAGCTCTTTCTCATCAACACGTACTTTAAAATTAGAAATACTAGAAATATGACTGTTTCAGAAAGAACGGTTTTAGAATAAGCATTAGTGCTGTAAAGTTCATTTTGTATAACATTTAAAAAATGAGTACGTACACGATAATTATGTTATTGGCCGTATTGTCAGCCAGAACTAAAACAAATTTAGAGTGGAACGCTAATATATCCTTTCTAAGATGTCGTAAACTAAGTCTAGGTTTTGGTGGTAAAAGATGTTCATTACCACGATAAAATTTTATACGTGATTCAATAATATTAAATATATTATGTTTCCATGTATTAAGTGCACTACTATCAGCATTTTCGATCTCAAAACCTTACGATCGTTAAGACTGATGTCCCAGATATTAAAAAAAGACATATAGAAGAATATCTTCTTTTCCAATCGATCCTTAATTATGACCAGTTGAAAGCATGCGTATCTCTCCAGTTTTAACATAGCAAGCAAACATGCAAATACACACGCCTTACAAATGGTAAAAAGGATCAGTCGAATGGGTTTAAATGACTTATCTGAAAAAAGAGTGTCTCACAACTCCAAAACACATTAATGGCGAGCACACTAAAGAGAAGCTGTCTTCTAGATTATTATAGATATTGAAGAACACGGCCATACCATAATCTCTTAGGAATTAACCACCCTAACTATCTAGTTGTCCAAATTAGCCACCATATAGGCCTGTAACCACATGTTACACAAGGCGTTTGCAAATTATTTTTCCCTCACACCGCAAATTTGTTGGATTACACCCTCCCCCAGTTATGGAAACATTAATGATAGCATTGACCCAGCGCCTTTGGGTCCAATCACTTATGTTAACAATAGATTCTTAATTTTTGATCTTGTATAGCAAGTTGTATAATTATATGTATATTTTCCTTTAATACTTAACAGCCTCCTTAACTGGAAGCCAGTTCCTCTAGATTAAGTAATGGCTTACGTGACTTGTGAGGTCTAGACCGGAAAACACTCAGTGCATTCAGCATACAACAATAATACAACAATTAAGATACGGAAATTAAATCATTATACAAAATACTTTACCGCTTGAAAAATGTCTGTTTAATCATCCTTGCTTTTCTTTTTTTTATCAGGGACTTAATGCAAGTTATCTTTAATCATTAAAGCTATATTTGCAAACTTGGAAATTAATACATACATTGATGGAATAAGGATGTAATTGTCCTTAATGTCATACTATGTAAACAACGAGATCAATAGCTAAACATATATTTTACACTTAAAAGTGTTCAAGTATTACTAATGATAAAAATATAATATATGCACTTTTATCACTGCATGGCCATTGTATTAAAATATTAGTAAGCATTGTAATTAAAATATTTCAACGTACTTAGTCATAATGCCTAAGATTTTAAATATTAACTTTCGTACGAAATGCGCAATCAATTGACAATGTTTGTGTTGATAACATCAATGGTGTTTCTCTTTGGTCAAGGTACGTTAAGTTTAAATATTTATTTTCAGTTTCTTAAATGTTTTAAATATCTTAAGTAATTTATATAGCAACTTAAACAAAACATTTAACATGAATGTCTGTCTTTCAGTAATATACCATAGACAAGATAACAAAAGGCCGAGACATGTTGTTTTTAAATGTGATAAGTTTTGAAATAAGTGATTTCATGGAATCTTCTTAGATATGGACCTTTATAATCATACATAATATTGATGCCACTATTGTATCATTTATATTCTGAAGATAAGATCACCAATTACGTTAGGGTCGTCCTTGGTCGCGGATAAGGTCGTTGCCATCAAATCACTTGCCCCTCCTCAATGTGGGTTCGAAAGCCGATAAGGAATTTATATTCTTTCATGTGAGGAAGCTATCCAGCTAACTTACGGAACGTCGTTGGTTCTACTCAGGTGACCGTTCGTGCCTGAAATAATACACAGAAGGACATCTGAGGTCTTCCCTCACCAGTAAAGCTAGAACATCGCTATATGGCATATACAGTGTCGTTCAAAACAAACAAACAAACTAAACCAATCATGTATTCTACCTTTCCAAACATAACACTTTGACATAAAAAAAAAACAACTTTAGGTATTTACAAATTATTCAACCAGCATTTCTTGGAAGAAGTGTAACATTTACTTTTACTCCTTATACATATGATCCAAGAATGGCAAAAGACAACGAAACAAGTGAATGGACGATACCACAACATTCGTTGTTATCCAAGTTTATTCAATATCATAATGATCTGAAATATTACTTGATTTTAACAAACAGTACCAGAGGTGAAGATATAGAAATCTACAGAATCCATATAGAAAATGCAAGCATTCAATGCAACACAAAATCACTCTCTAAAAGTTGTGTGCATGACATTGTTGTTATTATAATTATTGATTTTTATTATGTCATTTGGATTCTATAACAGTATTGATGACACTGGTCAAGCTTAATTTTATTAACAAAGGAAACGTTTATTAAACAGAACTATTGGCAACTGAATTTCTTAATAAATATATAAAAATATAACTGACCTCAAACACGCATCTTAAAACAAAATCAAATCACACATTAACGTAGCTGTCCGACATTGAAGTTTGAATCATTGACCAATAGTGTTAACGGTAAAGTAGTTAAGAATTTTGTGAAACGTTTGCTAGAGTCTGAATTCAGATAATGTTAGATAAACATGTGCATGTCATGTGACCGACTACATTTGTTTTTAATCAGCAGGGAGAGACAAATGACTATTTGACTTAATTAGTTGTCACGGAGAACTTTCATTTCATCCGAGTATCAAACCAGCTATTTCTGGTTAACTTATCCGATTGTCTCCTTAATAAGCCAAGCAAGCGGACCTCGTTATGTTGTTCCACCATTGGTATTTAAACACATATCAAATGATAGTTATATCTAAAGACAGTATTGATAAGGAATACAACCGCGAGTTTAAACATTTAGAAATTACTATGACTATCAGGATATATATTTTACATGTGTTTCAGAATATCGAACAGCCATGTGTTTAAAAAGGTATTTTAGATGAAACCACAAAATAATTTAACTAACTAACCTGGATAAGCATGGTCAATATCATTTTCAGTTCCTTCCAGTGCACTAGTATTTGATAATTTGAAAGACATTGATGACTGCAGAGGTTGCATTGTTGGTGAAGACGAGGAGCAGTTTCGCGTATTGTGTAAGACAGCAGGAGATTTACCGCCAAGTAACGTCAGTATAACTATAGGGAATGAGTCATTGAAACCGCTTGAATATGATCTGAAACCAGGTTATATGGCGTTTTTTACTTTGAGAAACAAACACCATAGGAGAAATATTACATGCACAGTAATGAACGAAGCACTGGTCTCTCCTTTGATAACAACAGCTCTAGTATACGTTATAAGTAAGTATAATGTTATCTTGATATAATCATTTCATATGTATATGGTTTGTCGTGAGATATTTCTTTTCGTATGATCTATATATTAAATACGCTCAGAGGATTTTAAGAAGGATACATACCATATTTTAAATGATTTGATGATAACAAGATTATTATTTTCTTTTGTATTACTAAAGGAAAAGTAAGGAATGATTCTAAATGTTATTTATTCTACGCATTTTTATTATTTCATAACTAGTTGCAAGACAAATTGAAATTTTTTTAAAGGCTTTTTAATTTCTCGTTGTTGATGTTCAGTCCTCGTATCTCAAACCCTCTCAACTTTAAACATAATGGTTTGCCAAGCAGTTTGTACAATAACAATAACAACATAAACGAATATTGTTAAAGTAGTGAAGCACTTTGATTACACACTAGTATAATTTTAAATCAAAATACAAATGTAGAATGTTGGGGTTAAAACTAATTTGGACAACTTAAAAATGCCTGGAATTATCATATATTTAATGTAATGACAGTAAGAACAATTTACTAGGCATTATTTCATTGAAGACCTAGCTGATATGTTCATACATTGTTTCAATATTTTCCTTAGAACCGTATGTTTTTCTTGTATTTATTTATTTAGGTCTCATTAAACATAGATTATATATATATATATATATATATATATATATATATATATATATATATATATATATATATATATATATATATATATATATATATATATATATATATATATATCGATATATAAAATACACAATAAAACAAATGGCATACATTTATGAAACCAATTAAATATATTTGATTTACAAGAGACTATAAAAATACAATACCTTTTTACACTGAAACAGAAAAACACTGTCACATCTTTGCATGACTATTGATGTACTATCCACATATAGAAACCGTAATTTTAAATACACCTGAGTTTGTTTTTAATCATAATTTTGACAAATAAAATAAAATAATATAAATAAAATAAAATAGAAATAAAATAAAATGAAATAAGGCAAATAAAATGGGAAGAACGATTCCCGCAAAAAATATTTCAATAGTAAAATATTTACGAAAACGTTAAGATAAAACGAAAAGATAATATTTTACAAAACTTTCAATATATTTTTTAGCACATGAATATTGCAATAAACAAATTTCTCCTTCAATGTTAATTCACCGAATCTAGTCTTTGTGATTTTTGCTGTAAGGATGTTGAAAGTATAGAGCACCTACTTTTGGACTTCCAAACGGTACAAATATTCTGGAATAATTTATTCAAATGGCTTAATGAAATAGCAATAAATGTTACGTATGACAATTTTACATCTTTCTTTCATGCAAAAGATAAGAAAACATCGTATACTTTTCCCTTTTCAAAATATTACATTTATACAGAAATTAAAGAAACAAAACTCCAGATAAAATTATCTTCAAAAGAAATATTTTAAACAGATTAAAAATTGAAAGATTTGTTGCCTTACAAAATGATATATTAGAAAAATTTGAAAATTGCTGGATAAATCTAATTGAATTGTTTGATATCTAAATAGTACATGCAGAGAAAAATGATACCAAAGCGGTTTATTTACTCTCTTTTTTTTCCATCCTTTTGCACCTTTTCTTGTGTAATTGTGTAAATGAATGAACCTCTTAACTTTTTAAAATGTCTTATATATTCTGATATAATACCTGACTAAAAACATATCAAAATAAATTTATTTTTAAATATCTACCTATCAATGTAAATGCTAAAATTATCATGGTTTGTATTCTTGTATTTTCTTCTTAAATAAACGGACATTAAACGTAATTCCAAAAAAAATCATAATTTTTACAAGTAAAAGATCTTGACAAGTATGTCCTACTTGAATGAAGTTAGACATTACATACTAATCTACCTATCACATACAAAATGGCTGAACATTTACCCATGAACCAAACAGCTTGGAGAAGCCCTTTTGTATTGTGTTCAACTTGTGATAACTCAAACTTTAATGCTCTTATTTTAAAGACATGAAGACATATTTCAAAACGTTTCCAGCGCTAAAATGTTAATAACTACAGTTATTATTTTTTTTACTTGCCTTTAAAACATATTAAATTGAACAGACTACTCATTTGTGTTTCAATTTTTTATTTCAAACGCAACCAAATACTTTCTTCTTTAAATAACATGAAATACGAATGTTTGCTGTTATGGCAAAACCAATGATATATAATGTTTCTGTATAATATTTAGAACAACCCAAGTTAAAGAAATTATCGGCACCAGAAACACTCAATGAGGGAAATTCTACTGATGTTGAATGTTCAGTTGGTGATGCAAGACCTATCCCTGATGTGTATTTTAGCATTTCCGGGGTTAAGATTTTCCCTAGCTATCACGAAATAAATGTTGACCCTCTTTATTCCAATTGGACGTATCATTTTTATCTGCCAACGTTCAAAAGACAATGGAACCTAAAGAATATCACATGCTGTATTCATAAAGAATGGTACATGACCAAAGAAGAATGCACACAACCAAAACAAGTACATTTTCTCTGTAAGTAAATGAATCGGTATCAATGATTTTATTAACAAGATATTTTAACTCTGTAAACATATAATACGCTTCATTTAGAGGTAAGAGTATTAAATACATGTGTAATGGATATTTGCTTTCTGTTGAACCAAATTGTCTATAGAGGTCGTTGACTTCAAAATACTTGCCCTTCACCTGATCAGTGGTTCTACTCAGGTGCTAGCTTACCTGTATAATTGCACGCAGGGGCATCTGAGGTCAGTGTCGGTGAGACTTAAAACTCTACAAACAATAAGGTAACGACTTAGTAATATGTTACATATTTGCTACTCACAAACCAAAAATAATTAGAAATACATCTATTTATGCAACTTCTCTCACCCTTTTTTACTTATTACCTATACCTTTTGCGTAGTTTAAACATAATAGCTTAATCGATGCCGTTTGACATCTTTCTTCATTCTTTGCTGCTTTTTGATAAGATTGTGTTTGTCTTTTATATTCTGTATGCTTTGAACGGTATTAATTATTGCATAAAATACTTTGTTTGTATTGTCTTATTTTTATTTCTTGTTACATTTAATCTTAAAGCTACATTAAATAAATATGTTAAAATAATTTTTGCCGTCGGCCTAAAAACCAAGCATTCTACAGTTTCATTAACCTTTTTAACAGTATCGTTGTAAATCGCATCAAATATTGTTCATAAATTAGGATTTTAAATGGAAAACCCCACGGTAACACTAAAGTTCGTATACGAATTTTAACATGCAAATGAAGACCATAATCAGCTCGTGTATGCGCTACGTCACGCTGTTATAGTTGCTATCCGGAACACAGCGAATATAAGATTTTCTTGTGCAAACACACTTTTACCGTTTAAGCTTCACGGTGCACTAGGCCTGTGGTTCAGAAAAAAATTCATCTCATAAAAAAGATTAAATTTGTATGAAAATATCCGTCACAATGCGGACATATACCGTTAAATTAGGATTGCTACTTATAGTCATGTTTGTTGATTTAATGTTGATGTACGGATGATCTGAAGGCGAGTTCTCATGCAAACAGAAATTGTACTTCCGAATTCGCCACATTGAGGTTGCACATTTGTATGCTCATTAAACTCATTTGGATTGTCTAGACACCTAAAAAAGATCTGGAGTCGATATGAAACCCAATTTATTAATGAAATGTCGCTATTTCTTTTTTTATGAAATTTATTTAATGTAACTTTAAGAAACCAAAGATTACACAAAAACTGATTAGAATCAAACTACATTTAATTGTTATTGTATGTCTAATGTTTCTAACTCATTTAGGAAGCTTCCACAAAGGTATTAAGATTGACCTATAAAACTAGTTTTCAACAATTAAAATATTTCAAAAGGTGCAAAATGCTTAACCTCAAACAAAATATATTTTTTTCTTTTTCGATTTTTTGTTGTTTCGTACGTTGCACCAACACAGTATAGATCAAATAGACCATATAGCGACTTACAAGCTATTCTGGTAGAGGGCGACTACAGGTGCCCTCTCGTGAATTATTTAAAGCACGAACGGGCACATGAGTTTCACAAACAAAGTTCTGTAAGCTAGCTGGATAGTTTCCTCACACGAATGAATCCAAAGTCCCTTTCGGGACTCGAATCTGCAGCGGTGTGGGACACGTGGATTGAAGTCAGTCATCTTAACCAACTGGCTAAGGACGCTCAATTTAATGTAAATGGATATGTGATTGAAACGTTAAACTGTTTAGGGAATGGCCTGACAATCCAAACTAATTATTGTTGACACATTATTTTGTTGTTGCAGTTCCTCCAGCAACAATCACACTAAAAATCAAAGTTGAACAAGGTTTGCAACCACCACAAATGTACGCTGTATGTATATTAAATGACTCAAACCCAGTATATAAAGCAAGCTTCATGGCACCGAGTGGAATCATTGGTTCTGAAATGTATTCCACAAACTCAAGTCTATCTAATGACGCTTGGACGGCAGTATACGCTGTGAACTTGAAAGTCAGTAAAGACGACAACGGCAAACAGATAACATGCGCTGCCGTCTCTCCTGACTTGAATGAGATATTAAACCAGAGCTCAACGGTTGATTTTCTATGTGAGTTTTCAGCTTTTGCTATAATAATATGACAATAAGTGTACAGAGAGCAATAACTAATACTTACAGAGTTGTTTACTTATCTACATTTATCTTACATGTGCTGCTCTGTGTCACGCCGCATAGAACTTCCAACGACTAAAGCTCTCCGGGGAACTCCATTCGTCGAGACCAATTGTAATAATTTAAACAAATCCGCTCCGCAAAAAGATAGGGTGTATACGTCAAGATGCCGGATTTTGATGTATAAACCTCCCTTAGTTTTAACATGCAAATAACGAGCTATGAAAATTAGCTAGATATTCTTTCTAACTTGATAGATGTGAATAAGCTGTTAAATTTTGGGGTTTTATTTCCAGAATCATCCAAAAACCCGTACAAACAATTTCGGGAAATTTCTCTACAAAAATTAGTCAATTTAATGTTAATATAATATTTTCCCATATCCCCTGTCATCACCTGTACCTTATTATTATCATCATCATCATCATCAAAATCATCATCATGACCATTTTCATTATAATCACCAGTTCATCATCACCAGCATTGTCACGGCCAACATCTTTTGCATCGGCTAAATAGTTTCACTATTATCATAAAAATCATCATCATAAACAGGAAATGAACATCAAGATAATCATTATAATGTTTTTGAAATTAATATTGATGATGATGATGTCGGCGACGACGACCATGATGATGATGATGATAATTTTGATGTGATTGAAATCCTTATGATGATTATAAATTTGATAAAATGTTATTTTTTGATTTTCATGATTATGAAGATAAAGGCAATAATAATAGTATAACAATTTTGATGATGCTGCTGATATTTTTGATGATAATGGGCATGATGATGAGCTTAATGATGATGTTGATGACAATAGAAGTAATGATTGTTATGACTTAATGGTGATAAGGACGATGATGTAAGTTAAAATTTTCTTGGTGACATCGTTGTTTATTTACAACTAACTTCATGACGAGGAGCTTTGTTCGTCGAAGCGAGGTGTCACTTTCAAAATCAATGCATGTCGTTGACGAATAAAGCTCCGGGCGCTTTTGTCGTTTGAACTTTACGAATATAGCTGTTAAAGAGCGATCTGCGTTACCGAGTAACGTATAAAGCTCTGCAGAGAGCTATGTTTTTCAGGAAATATATGCGGCGTAACAAAAATCAGCCATTCATTCCACAGTGCATAGATTAATTCACAAATAAATAGCATGTTAAAATAGTTAAATATGATAAAAGTGAAATTTTCTAAACGTTAAAAATTTGTTTAACTACAGATTATAGCTCTACGAAGACCATAAAATGGTTTTACAAATGGCTGATTTGGACACTTCTTGGTTCCATTTTTGCTGCATCTATTGTTTTACTCAGCGTATGTGTTGCCATTGCAATGATCAAACAGAAAAGAACTAAAGGTATATCGTGTATTCTCATAATTTATTATTTCGGCTTCATGTTGATACCTTATTCTATTAATAAACTATAAGTACGGGTGCATCAATTCGAAATTCAATCCTAAGTATTTCACTTGAGTTTTATTTATCGTGCAAATCTTAAAACTAATTACAATTATTGTAATTTTTGCCATTCTCATGATAAACATGAACATATTGTTTTAAATTCTTATTTGTATATTTATTTTTTTTAATTGAAACTGATACAATGATAAGAAGTAATTCAACTTCCTCAAGGAACATAGATTTCAATGGACTCCATTTGGGGTGTTTATTTTCTTTTTTTTCTTTTTCGTTTTCTATTTATTCATTCATTTTTTGTTTGTTTGACAGGACGGGACCTGACATATTTTTTTATTTTTTCAAGAGTTCTGTACCATTTGATGTTTTCCAATTACTTAATGGGAGATTTTTTAGCCCTTCCTTCTCTCTTTTTCCCCAAAAAGTTTTTTTTTGGGGCAAAATGGGCCCAAAAAACGAAAACGGGAAAAAACCTTTTTAACTCCCGAAACGGGGAAAAAGCAAACACATTAATATTTGATTATAGAAAATTTTGTTTTTTATTTAGTTTGCCCGTTTTGTGCTATCAGTAAAGTTTCCATTTTTCCATTTTGAACAAGAACGTTATCAATTTCTTTAAAGGTTAATATTTAATCTGATTTTATTTTCAGCATTATCAACAGAATTGGAAAGAAATATTGATACCGATGACAAAGTGTAAGTCAGTGATTCTTTTTATTAATGTATATACTATATCATCAGAACCTATAATAGTCATGTAATCTAATCAATTCTAATTCTCACTCAGTTTATGAAAAGACATTTAATCCTTATCCTACAAGCAGTACAATTTAGATAGAATATATATAGAAAGTACTTAATTTTACTCTTTGTCTTAATTTCGTGTGCTGTTCAAGTTATCATATAAATGTACGTGTCACCTTTATCAAAAGCATTTACAATTTGACAAACGTTTTTTTTTTTGGTATTATTTCTTAAAGAACATTTTTGTTTTCAAAATAATAAAAGAGAATGGATACATTACAATTCCGTTTAGAAGACTACCAAGGGCTTCTTGTCACAACTAATAAAATAGTTGTGCGGTTACTTAAGCAGGAGGACATAATTTTGCTAAGATTATTATGTTGACTATAGTTAATGGTTGTACTTATTTACAAGTCATGAATTAAAAAATTGTTTTTTCTGTTAATATGGGAAGAATTTAAACCCAATAACATGTATAAAGGAAACATAAAAAAACGGTGGTATAAAAGTACCGACATGCGATCGATTTTACTAAGCTGTTGTATATTAAAAGTGAAAAATTCACGATGTTGTCTCTAGATTCCCCGTTGTGGACCTCAAAGGATATTTGTAATGATGACGGAAATTAAAGTTATTGTATGTTCCATGAGCATTGATGTCATGTAATTGTTTAGACGCTTTAACCAAACACTCATTTCCGGTAACGAAACTGATGATTCATAAATTGTCTTCTCCTGTTTTTTTTTAAATTCCTTATTTGCAATTTATATTGCCAAAATTCGTCATATACAATGTATATTCAACCTTTTAAGCACTTACGTTTGTCATTTAAATCTATATCTGGTAATGATTTTCGAACATTTAGATAACTTGTTTTGAAATAGAAACAACAATATATAATGAGAAAAACAGTAAAGTTTGTGAATAACTTTTCCATCTTCGAATATTCATTTTCAGTGATGTTAATATTTGATGAGTAATAGAATGAAATGACGGATGTCCCCCGTTAGTTCGTTTGTTGGCATATGAAACAAATTTCTAATATAACTAGAAGCTAGAAGGGTGTTTTAGGAGAAAAGTACGCGTTTAAACACATGACGTTCAGCAAAATAAAACAATAAAGAACATGCGCAGTGATATAGTGGTTATGCTGACTATGTCGAGGCGTTGCGAGCTCGCCCATTTGCTGCTCCATTGTGTTTTGTCGGTGACATTGTAGATTGAGATTTTGGGTATCAGTGTTTTGCATCTAAGCACTTTTTTACAATATCAATGCACATTTGATATTGAGAACAGCTGTACTTTAATATAGAAAATTACATACTATATGTATAATATGCTTACAAATCAAGCAAATGAAAGGCATTGTTGCCGAAACAGAAACGTGCGTTATTTGCAAAAATATGTCTTATTGGTGTCTTTGCCGTATTCTGTGTTCCTGATCATTCTATGTTCTTGATTCCGTGTAGTAACACTGAATAAGTTCTTGATTTTGTAGCATATACTAACTTTTCAAATAAAAAGGCAATGAATTTCAGTAATTCTAGTTTTCTTAAAGTAGCAAAAACAATACCAACGAATATTAAGAGGATATTTTTTCGTTTGAGTGAAATATGGAATATATTTTTCACGAAACATGATAAAATGCCACATATTTTCACGAGCCGGGACGGCGAGTGAAAATATGTGGCATTTTATCATGTTTCGTGAAAATATATACCATATTTCACGAAAAACGAAAAAATAACATTTTTATTTAATTTCAATATCAAAGAAAAATGGTTGCGAACCCCCTTTGCTTGCTACGCAACTGCAATTGTACAGCGCGCAGTAATTTAAGTATCGTCTTGTTTTACACGCGATATTTAGCGCTACATTGTGACGTCACGTAAACAACTCTAAAACGTCTGTACAGCGTTGATGACTGAATTAAAGATATTGGTGTTCGAATTAATTTTCTTAGTTAGACCATTTTCTATCAATATAGATAGTTTTCAAAACGAAATTCAACAAAAAGTTGCTTTGTATTTATCAGATTTTTCAAACAAAATGGCGAAAGAAGTCCCTTAAAATAAATATGAGTTTTAACTCCGCCCACTTTCATATTTATATTTCATATTTATTTTTAAAAAATATGAAATATATTTGACTGATATAGCACCATATTTCATGGGTAAAATTAAATAATATATTTGATTATTCTTAAAGCTGTGTCAAAACTTAAGTCCTTTGTTTCGTCAGATAAGCATGGGGATAACTAACTCTTAGGGTTGCTTATCAATATTTAACTTTCACTCTGCTTTCATGAACGTGTCCATCTTACACTTTGGACAAAATCGTCATTTTTAGATAGATTTTCCAGGTAAGTTCCTTTTCAATAGCGAACAGTACCGATCATGAAGTTGATATGCACTGGTCGCGTGAGTAGAGTCCTTTGCTGTCAGCAGCTTTTGGGTTAAAATATTGTGTTTTTTTATTTTTTCAGAGATTATGTTAACATAGTTCTTTCACCGTATGAATTAGATAATTCACCGTGTAGAAATGGCGCTTCGAACAAAACATATTCAACACCAATGTGAACAACCATCACTCAATGTCAATAACTTTTGATTCCTAATCTATTTTGAAGTGAAAGGAGTATTGTAAATAGTGAAATGGATGTGAAATAATTTTTACATTTTGAAATTGAAGAGAAACAAATGTTGTACATACCTGATTAGTGAGAAATATTGATAAATAACTGTAAACGAAATATTGATACATTTTCGATAATTATGTGACATTGAAATTTACACATATGCATCATTGAAGTATCATAACTACAGATGCATATACGATATGGAAGTGAAAGAAATATTGAAACTTATCCAATATTAAAATGAAAAAGATATTGAATACATTCGATATTGAAGTGAAGTATTTATAAATACATGTATACTGTATATATTCTATATTTAAATGAAAAGTATCGATATGTTTTAGATATGGAACTAAAAGAAATAATGATGAATGTTTGATATTGATATGAAATGGATATTGATGCATATTTGATACTGAAGTGAAACAAGTGTTATAATACAGGACTTATTAGATATTGATGTGAAACAAGTATTAGATATGGAAGTGAAAGAAATGTTAATACATATGTATAAATACATATTCTGTATATGACACATATTTGATATTGATAAAAACAAGTGTTAACATTGATAGGTGTTGATCCTTAAGTGAAAACAAAATCAACAGGAAACATGTATTTATTTGAACAAAATGTATTAAAATGTAACATAAGGAAAACTTATTTTCCTAAGCGAACATTGTTGCATAAGATAACATTTCAGAATTTGAGCACACATCAAAACATTTAAGCTTTGTCGAAATTTCATAGTGGATTTCAATAATTATCTAATTTAAAACTTTGTAATTTACTCTGACCCTAATAAGACTTCGGCGTTCACAATGGTGTTGATATATATTGTTTCAAATTATATCTAGAAACTTATTGTGAATGCTTTATGTCTATAGACCTTTTGGTTTGCTAAAACAATTATAAAGGCCACTAATAAGGTGTTGATCCTTTAAGTAATTGTGTATAATCCCAGCATATGCCTTGGTCACTAGTTTGAGGATTTTCTTACAATTACATAAAAATGTCATTATGTTTCTTGTATATGATTAAAGAAAAGAAAAAAATACATCACATACATCTGCAAAGGTTTATATAGCAAAGGTTTATGTAACAAAATCTGTTATACAACTCTGACTTATATTATTTTCCTGGTCTATATAGTTTATTTATTCGACTAAGTTTTCTAAATCCATGTATATACATTTAACAGTTTGCTAGTTTTGACATTCCGTTAAGCATATATTTAGAATTTGTATGCTTTGTAAAATTGTAATTAAATATTCATATATAAACTTTTTAAAATTATATTTCCATACTGGAGGAGAAGCAAAAGTTCAATTCATTATTGTAAATAAAGTTGATCTGTTCTGTAAGAATTCTTGTATATTCTACCCCTCTCCGAGGCAATGGGCAACAGTTTTCTCACAATTTAACATGACAAATTTTACCAGGATTTCTTGGAAAGTTACAATGGCAGGTTCATATAGTTTCCCCAGATGAGTTTCATAAAGGCTTACGTGTCATTATGTCGATTGGCATCAGGATTTCTGCAAGTTTCTGGAGTATCCCGGGAAATAAAAATTGCATCATATATATCGCTTGACACCTTGGATTGTTGAAAAATAGCTTAAGCAGCTGTCAGGTGATGTGTGACCGAGTCTGCAATTTTCATTTAATTTAGCTTATTTTTATGCCTCCGAGGGATCACTTTTTTCCAGATATCGAAATAATCGCAGACTTGTGCAATGTACTCTGGTGGGTCCCCAGACGTCAAACATGTCATAATTGTGACCGACACTTGGATTCCTGCACGTCTGCGAGGGTCTAAGAAAACATTTTTTTATCTTTTATTATAAAACATAGAAATTATATGATTGGAGTGGCATTGGGAAACCTGAAAGTCTAAGATAGTACTCTCAATACAGTCCCACACCTATGTCATAGACTTGCGGGTGTCGGCGTAGATGCAGTACATGTTAAATGCCTGATAGATGAAGAATATTGCCAAAGTTAAAAATTAAATTAGTTATTTATAAAACACTTACTATGCTTAAATTTGATATTTGAAAATATCAATAATTGCTACATGGTCTTTTTGTAAATACAATGTTTAAAATTAACATGTTTTGGCTTCACACAAAGTAGTATGTTAAGTTCTAAATCCTACGCAGTATAAGTGGACGACACACAATAGGTATATAGTGTAATAAAAAAAAACAGATCGTTTTAAAGAAAGGACCAGCTTCAGGAATATGTCTGCACTGTTTTGATTGGATTCCTAAATATCTGCGAGAGTATAAGAAACATAAATAACCATTAAGTACAACAAATGGGAAAATTATACTTATTCATAAATGTTATCATAAAATTTTGATGAAATAAATGTCGTTCTACACTCTAAAATGAAAGTAAAATAAATATTTTGAAGGTTTTATGCCATAAGTTACATGTACGATTATAATGAAATAATGATTGAACACAAAAATCGTTATCTATAATAAATAAAAACTTCCAATTGCGTATGCGAAAAGTCAATTTGGCGAAATGAATATATCCCCATCGCTCAAAGTGCAAGAGTTACCAATCTTTATTCTGAAATAATCTATAATGAGATCTATTTTCGACAATGTACTGTATTCCTAGAAAGGATTTCGCGCGTTTTAAGTTAGCGCTTTTCGCGGTAGGCATGATTCCGCGAATCTTTATAGACGCGAATATGTCACTTATAACAAATCCGCGAAAGTTTCTAGCTTCAACCGAATAAAAACAAAAATACATGCAGAATATGTATTATAATCTACTCACACAAAAAAACCATATAAACACAAGTACTTTAGAAACGTATAAAGAATTATGTAAAGTTCATTGGACCAAACATAACACTGCTGATTAAGTTGCTATTTTAGACTAAACCCGCTGGACCCGAGAGTGGTGTGACTTTTCTAATAGTATTCGTTTATACAAATTCATTTTAGTTCAGTTGAAACACTCTCAAATCCGTTCCTGAAACAAACAAATGCTAAGTGGTGAATGTAAAGTTTCTTGCTCAGGTAAACAACGTCTTGCCTCTGACAGGGTTTGAATCCACGCGGTCAGCAATCCTTAGATTTCCGATGTGTTGACCACTCGGGCATGCCGACACTCTGCAATAGTTTAGAGTCACGCAAGCCTCCCCATACGGGATTCACACAAAAATCTATACTTTAGATATATACATGTATATATAGGTTCTTTTTTTTTTTGGTTATATATATTGAAATCCTTTCAACCCCGAATGAACTGTGCTAGATTCAAAGCAGGGAGTTGCCATTGCATAAATTCAGCTGGCAAAGAGTTTAAATTGGAAGTATTCGTCTGCATTTTATCAGATAATAACATATGATGTCCTGAATATTTAGTGAGTCCGGAAATTAATTATACGAGAATTTAATTATCTTATTCTGTACTGAGACGGTTTTATATTAATTTTTATATTAATTTTAGATTCATTTTGTATTATGCTATTATTTTATAATAAATACATCTCAGCTTACATTTTGGTACTTTTAAGACAAACTATTTCGCATTTACTGCTAATTTCGTCAGGTAACAAGCATCTAACATACTCTTGAAAAATAATTTAATTTTTTTTTAAATTCATGTTTCCTTTTCTATAGAAGTAAAAAAATGTTCATTTCTGAAGCGTAATGTGCCTTTAAAGTAAACCTTGATAAAACTAAGTACACTTAACCTAGAATCTGGTTCTTCAAACGCACATATGTGATGCATTTTGTCCGAACGTTACGGTAGTCTTTGCCTTTAATGACGGTCCATCCGCTCTCTCATCAGACATTCAGACTAATTGGAAGAATGGACCTACAAGCATTTTCAGTTTAGTATAGACAAAAGATATGAAATCTAAAGAAAAAGTTTACTGAACGGCGGAAAATGAGAGCCTAACAGTAGCAGTACCTGGGACAATGTAAAAAGGATGAGGTAGCTCTGAAAAGGACTGTTATGCCAGATAAGGCTCATCACTTTCTGTGCTTGGGACGCATTTTTCCTCGTCGTTCCTTCCTACTTTGCAAAGCCAATCCCCACGACCTCGACAGCTGAGTCGTAGTTTGCGATAGAATCTAAACTCTATAGCGACGATTTGGGAGGTTTTGCATCCAGGACCTACCCTTTTTGTTTACAACAACCCTCAGATCTTTACCAACGTGTCACTGGTGATGAATCAGCCAGGCTCCAACTCTTATGCCGATGCTTGTAGTTTTTCTACGATGTACCCGTACTGAGAGGAAAAGAGAGGATGCGTTCAGATCGGTTACATATACTGTTTAATATCGAGTCCGAGGATCGAAACGGTCACTAAATACCAGTCATACTTTGTATTTCCTTCATATAATTTATGCAAGTTAAAGAAAAAACTAGGTTCGGCATTTTCAAAACGTGCTCTCAAAATAATTGTGCAAATGATAAATTCATCAACATTTTTATAGCATAATGAAATACCTTATTGTCAAACACTGTTTTCCTTCACTTTTATCACATTCATTGAATTTCAAAATATCATAAATCTAAGTTTGTTGTGGTATGTCGTTTCAGATGTTTGACATTATCAAAGTCTACGACCTTCGTGATGATATAACTGAACATCTGAACTCCATACCTTCCTATGAAATAGCAAAAATAAACCCCTCTCAAAATCATGATATAATTCCTAATTATGCGGTATTATATGGTGTGAAGTCAATTGGTTAATTGTACTTACTTTTGTATACGTTGACTATCATTTCCTAACAAAATCAAAAAGTGTGAATGGCATAATTTTGAAGTTTACACTCATAATTGTTTTTTAAAGTTTCTGATTGCGGGATATTTTAAAATATCATAATTTAATCGAAATGTACTTCACTTAATACTGATGTTTTTTCATAATTTTTTATGTTACTTGTTATGCATTAATACACGTTCTGGTTTGTTAATGGCACGCAACGTCTTTAAATCCTTTTCCGGATTCCATTATAATCTATCGGCAAGGTGTTCTGAATGAAAATAAAATCCTTGTCTGACTTTTTAGTTGTCAGTTTTATAAGATAGCAAGTGAAACTTAAAAAAAGTTTTTAACAATATAACTACATTGATTAATGATAAAATATTCTTTTGCAATTATCAGTTAAAGGTGCATGCGCAACAAACATTGTCATAAAAAAACAAAGGAAAAATACATAACACAAAAAGCAGTTCATCAAAGTTCAATAACTCACTTTCACGACAGATTAAATCTTAGGGTATTGGCAATAAGCTCTGACAAACACTCGCATACACATGCTAATATTTACAGTGTTTCGTGTGTAAAGTTGATTTGTGTAATGACACAAACGTTATTTCTATCAAATAAATCTACTGGTTTGCATAAATATTGTCTTGTTCCGTAGGAGTATCATCGATGCCTTTATTAGTTTTTGTCTTCACATAATCTATATCAGCATATTCTGTCGGGGAATCTCGCCGCTTGGCAACTGCTGCTTTTGATGGAGTCTCATTTGAATCAAAGGCAAGATCAGCATATAGTAATTGTCCGTCCTGTGAATGTTTGGGCTTAAAATTAAATCAAACACAAACATAAAATATACTTATTTTCCAGATTTCATAATATTTAAATCTAAATTTATACTGGTGAAAAGCTGTTACAAAATGTTCAGTCAAGTAAATTGTTATATCAAATATGCAGATTACCTAGCGCAAGCCATGGCCATCACAACGTCTCTATATAATTATAAAAACAAATGAAAATGTGATAATTGTTATCCACACCTTTTCCGTTTTTGAAGAAGAAGCTGATGTTCCTGTTTTGTTTACTTGCGCATATGTATTGTCCGAGTCTTCTATAGTTTTCTTTTTAACTGGTTGAGAATATACAGGTACTTCTGCCTCGTTCTCAAGCGCATGCGCATTCTGATTAAGGTTTCCCAAAGGACGAACCTCCGGGTTTTGTTTAGAAAATCTGCAATCGTATACACAGGACCATGATTCTTATGATTGTTTTTAAAGATTAAAATTAGATTTAAATTGAACAGTCTAAATTGTAACATGGCACAAATATGAAATATACAAATCATTTAAAAAAGGTTTTAGTTATTACAATATCATGTGATAAAACAATCAAATTTTGATCGTTAATGCTTAAGATATATTTAAAAAGCCAACATAAAATAATTATATGCACATATATATAGTTGCAGAAAAAATTAGATTTTTCTGTTTTTTTTTTTTTTTGTACTACCTGAGACAAATGTCTTAAATACATGTTTACAAACAAGCTAATTTTTTGATAAAGTTTTTATTAAGAGTAAAGAGACACTTACACTATATCATCCTCATGCTTGTGATAATCTACCTGGCTGTCCCTCTTTTCTGTAATGTTTAAGAAAAAAATATAAAGAAGAAATGCCAACATAACTAATAATGCTGTTTGTAAATACAAAAACATTTTGTTATTATAGATAAATGTTATTAAATAGGAATAAGCTTAAAATTAATATTGAGTGCCTAAAATGAGAAAAAAAGACACTTATGCAGACATGTGGCTTGCTTACACGATACTCTTGTACAAAATCGGACAAGCTTGTTTTTAAGTTGTTAAGCTCAGTCCAGAGCATTTTAGTCAAAGGACATGTTTCATGTAGCGTACTAGAAAACAACTGGTATAAATGTTCTCTTTATGATTGAGCTAAAATACATATTTTGATGATTTAAACACTGTACGTGTATGTCGTACATTTTGATATTTTATGCGTATTTTTGTTTCTTGAATGATAAGGAATAATATGAGCGCAAAAACAACAGCACTGAACAATTTCAGTGCTTAAACAATCCATCGTATGAGTTCGGTTTTACTTTCCGTATTCAATGGATAATTTAATTTTAAAATTTGCAATTTATTTTTATTTTCTAAATAAGTGTCCCGTTCCTGGACGGCGGTATATACCAAGATTTGGTCATTTATACACTGCATGTGCTAAGCCAATCAGACTTGAAAATTTAAGATCACAGGATAACAAAATGGATGACAAAATACCTTAAAAAGTTGCGCCGTTGGAACAGTAGTCTGCTATGTTTTTTTTTGTTTTTTTTTGTTCTCTTTTTTTTTTGATTGTCGGGTTACCTGTATTAAGTATTGAATAATTACTTTCATGTACGAGGCTCGAAACCTGTTTGTAGACTCCTGCGGGGTAAACAGTACCCGGAGTATATCTGTTAAAGGAAGATCATTTACTCTTTTGTTCAGGAAGAAGTCAATTTGACGACAAAATGTGGAATACCCATCTGAATTCTAGCTTTTGTGTAATAGCAACGCTTGATCATCTTTACAAGGCACTGCAAATGACACCGTTTTTCATAGAAGATATATTTAATGTCAATCTTACCTGTAGAATTTAGGCGTTTTTTCCTGATGACAACAAACAAGACCGCTATAACAATGATGCCGACCACAAGTACACATGCACCCAATATTATCCAAATTATGAACTTGTCCGAAGCTTGGCCAGTATTTTTCTGTTTATCATTGTTTTTATTGTCTTTATTGGCTTTTTCTATATAAATATGAAAATTTTTCCTTATGATGAGCAAGTGACTTACTGAGAATATTTAACATGAATTTCATTTTGCTGTTTATCGTTGTATTTATTGTCTTTATCGGCTTTTTCTGTGTAAATATGAAAATGTTCCTTATAATTAGCTAATGACTTACTTAGATTATTTAACATGAATTTCACGTCAATGATTATTTATTAGTAATACAGTTAAACGCCAAGAAACATATAACATCTATATGAAATCAATTTGTATCAAGGGTACAAATTGAGATCATGTTTAGTAAAACTTGCAGGAAAAACGGACGTTTTGAAGAGTGTCAAGACTTCGCAATGAATGGGATTCGTTATAACCTATGTGTGGAAAAAATGTTTGTAAAATGAGTCGTAAGATGGACAGGAGCATAGGCAAGCTGTTAACAAGTATCATATCGGAAAGAAAATTGAATCATTTTAATGGAAATGCTTCAAATTTTAAACATGGTATTAAAATGCAAACGACATTTTGCTCTTCAAATTGTAAATTTAACACTTTGTTTAACAAGGTTCGGATTTTAGTTTTTGGAAATGATGATGAAAATATTTCAAGAAATACTGAAACAAACAAATGGAATGTAAAACTATTACCTATTATGTGTACAGTCAAATATTTTTGATCAACTTCTGCCTTATAGTGAACCTGGCACATAAAACGTCTGTTTGAAACTTCATCAGTATCAATATTTAATACGCAGGTTGGTGACAAATTACATTGCTTCTTCCTTATGTTTCCATTACTTAATTCAATCCATGATATATTTGAGGCAGGAACGCTTTTAGCTTCACATTTAACATGTGACCGCTCTCCTTCAGAAATATTCAATATCGATCCAGATATATTGAACTTTATAACTGGAGGGACTGAAAGTTGATTTCAATACAATATCATGTTTGTCATTATAAAAGATTGATACAATCGGAATATTTATCTTGATGATAAACTCATATATGCAGATACAGATGAGGCACAAACGCAGCAACAAATAAATCAGAAAAAAAAGTTACTTAGATTACTTGACAATGAAACAAAATATCACAAGTGTGATATTTCAAATTCTATTACTACGTTTGGAAATAAATATAATGCTAAATCAAGTGTTGAATACAGTAGTGACAGTGACTATACAAGTTTAAAACTATTTTTCGTCTTTCTGAGCTGCCCACGTGTTTTGATTATCTATTCTAAATACTTAGATTGGATAGTATTTATCAACAGAATGTGACGATAATGTTCCTAGAAATATTACAAGGTAGAAGTTTTTGACAGTGTCTTTAGGTCAACATGAAACTCGATCACACTCACCATACACGCTTACATTTTTGCCAATTGTCTTCTTCACTGAATTCAGTTTAGCCTCTTCTACACCGACATTCCATCGCCCATGGTGTATTATATTCCTCTGAAGACTTTTTGATCAATGATACCGCTTGGGACTTTTACACCTGAGTTGCAGACTGTGGTCTCGTCCTATACAAGTGCAGAGTGAGCACTCCATTTGACTGTCTTCATAACTTTCAACTTCTAAACATCACAGTTGTGGGAGGAACTAAACAACCGAAAGACACTTTACTTACTCCATGTCCTGGTTTTTTTGTTTTAAACAATATTTTTCCTGTTACGGTCAGGCTTGACACTATTTTTTCAGATATGTTTTTTGTCTTGTTTGCTCTCAAGTACACTATGTTTTGATTACCAAATATTCATCATTTGTTAACGTCAGTCCTATCATTACGCAGTAAACGCTCACTAGTGAGACTCAACTGAAAGGACTTTGCAAATCTGTGTTAACAGAGCGGTGTGGTGTTCTTCAGACTCGTTTTGGTCAATCCAGGATACACCATGTATATTCAAGATTGAAAAGAATTAAATAGAGGGGCACTCAAGAAGACATATACATGAAATATGATATTAATGTTTAGTACGTGAACAAAACTATTAACTAAATCTATTAGAAAACGCGCATCTACGCAAATGAATATTGATGTTTTGCAAGCTGACAGTTCTCCGCACCATTTGTTCTCTGCCTTGTACCTTCTTTTCGGCGCAACGTGATGTTTTCTTTTCCATTCTTTCCTTTAAATAGGTCGCAGCAGGTCGGACTCCTGTTGGTATTTAAAGTGTAGGTTCGAATTATAAAAGTGTGATTTGCAGTACGATATTCTGAACGGAAGAATTGATAAAATACACATTCGATTAGTCTTCCATTTCAACGTAATGTGATTTTAACGGCTTCTCCGGTATATTAGAAATTTCCCATTTGGCACCGAAATATATAGAACTTTGGTGTTTTGTCAATAAAGCAGAATAAAGTAATATTATCACCTTTTAAATACTGAATGATGATTTAATTATCATAATTTTTTGATACATGCAGTTATTTATAGGTATGTCATTTTTCTTTCATTCTAAATGATTAACAAATTCCGTTTTTCAAGGAAGATTTACTTTTATACATTTTGCATTTTTGCGTTGTTTCAGGTGTATAAATCGAAACTTACAACTTTAATAAACCCCTGTGCTATCCAAAGCTTATCAAATTTATGAGATAAATTAACCAACGAAACACCGATAAAGTAAAGTTGGCCAACGTCTTTGGTATTGTATAACAATGTGCTGTAGCCAGTATTTCCAAACATTACATCTTTAAATACACCTAAAGTAGCTAAGTTATCCTCTCGTGAATCCATACCATTGGAGCATCGCGCGGGTGTTCAAGGCTTGACCGCCAGCATTTTCGTATATGACTGAAAATACTTCACACTTTCATTTTGTGATGGTGGTCCTTTGTACCCTGGTGATAACAATACCGTTAATGGTTCTCTCCGCAATTATTCGTTGAGGTTCTTATGACTCATCCTATTGTGTCATTCAGTACTGTAAGGACGGAAACTCCATGTAGATCTCCAGGCAATGTTCAACTCATCTCTTTCCTCCTACATTATCGAGTCCCTGCAATCTTATCTACTGTCTGTAATTCCAAACCTATTTACAGGTGTTACTTGGCTGCTTCTGAAAAATTGTAAGAAAGGTTAATGCAGAGAATTTATGATTCGGGTTTTCGTCTTTATTTCCTTTATTTTTATTGGGTTTGATTTTCTTTTGACTCAGTAATTGATATCGTTTTTTACAAAAATTATCATACAATGTCAAAAGACGTCATTTGTGCAGAGCATACAAATTCTCGTGCACATCTAGGATGAATACATACTGGTATGATGTAAGACACATGTTTACTATTATTTGTGTCTTTAGATTTTGTTAGTTTTTGAAAAAGGAGCAACGTACGTTATTTGTTAGGAACGGACTGTTTGATTTTAATTTCTGCAGATGACTGTTCCGTTAGTGTAATGTTTACATCTCAACTAGGTTGTGTGCCTATATTCTGTATTTATTTGTTCATCCGTTTTTCCATAATAATACTCTAACAAATTGTAGACCCATAATTAAAGCGTTGTAATTGGTTTTCGATCAAGTCGGAGCTAAGGTATGCAAAATCGTAATCTCCAAATTTTATTTTTCATTCTTAATGATTTTACGGTCCTAGATGGTCTTACGTAAAAACTTTTCAATAAATGCTTAGATGTTTTGATCAAGTGGAGATCCAAGTGATTTAGAAACAAAAACCAAACTAGGTATCTTACCAGTATATTGTTTGTGTATAAGCTACTGACACAATAGAACTGTTATCTTCTCAATTCATAGACCCCTGCACATACTTAATTGTCAATCTATTTGGTATTGTTGCCCTTTTCTTGGCGTTCCATCGCCATATCAACGTTTTCTGTTTGTGTCGACTGTGTGTACAAGTTTCGTTTTGAAAACTATCGCTGTTTTCGTCTCATTGCGACGTAATATTTCTATTTTTACATGGTCTCATGTCAATCATTCTCAGATCTGAAGGTATACGTAGTCCACAATTTACCTGATATTGGAAAATAAATTTTACGGTATACTGATCTCAGTGTGTTAATTAAATAACATTGTCTCATTCTTTGAGTTTCTAAGACAGTGTTTTTCTATGGGTTTGAATTCTACTTGTCAGAAATCACAGTCGGTTGTCATAATGTGGCACGAACTGGCAACATGAGATGTGGTACTTTCCAGTAACTGCGTAAGCTTCAACCTTTCATTGCTCTCCCTCATATGAAGATTCAATTCGTTCGTAGTTGGCGGCAAGGGGGTTTTAAGTCACGACCTTACCGTCTCAGCCTTGACACGGTGGGTTTAAAGGTAAGACGCTCATGAAATCGTAAACAGTATTCTGTGTTTCACTTTACGCAATTCCTGTGTTTGTTGCAATAGTTATTAGAACCATCTAATTGATAAGCAGAGTTATTCATTATTACATATCGATTCAGATGTGAGCCTCCGATCACCAATAAGTAAATCTAAAAGAAAAGAGAAAAAAGAACCTACGGGTTAGATAACACTCGACCGTTGTTTTCTTATTTTTGTTCATGTGGTGTGTGCTTCTTTCTTGTTGTGTGCTTTCTTTATATTTTGTCCCCTTTCTGTTTTTAATTTACGTTATGATATTGCTCTTTCCCCTCTAATGCCCTTTAAGTCAAACCCCACCGCCTTTTTGCAGTTGTTTATCTTTCGACCCCAGTTGTCTACCAAAAACCCCATAAAATTACCTAAATCCAACCGATTCTTAACCATTGTATAGATGGTTCTTAGTAGTCCATGACCTCATGCTTCTTTTGCCTCGTGAGGTAAGTGTTATACGATATATGTATAAGATAGTATGTTGAAAGCATATTTTTAAAATTCGCCCCTCGTGCCTTACTTATCCAAATTCGTCAATTCAGCTTATTAAATGGTGGGCTATATTTGGCAGAAAAAGAAATTAAAAAAAGTAACCCACAAAACAGGAACATCAATTCTGTAATTTTACTTCCATTATTATTTACAACAGTTATTTCAGCGCCTCTGTCTGGATTACAACATGCAACTGCTGTCCTCTGTAAAATCACTCTTAGTTTAGACCAATAACATTAACTGATGTTAGTGATTCGAGTTCTCTATCCCATCGTCAATACAGCTTTGACGATGATATTAATCAAAGGCATTAGGCTAATCAATCACTTAGCAATTAATAGAAACTGAATGAATTCCCATTTGTTCTCTTTCTTCGTTAATATAACGTTGACTCACCAGCATTAAACCATAACGGTTTACGGATTTGTGTGAGCGTAAATGGGGATAAACCTATGCAGGCCTATAGAATGTTAGCTTATTGAAATGTTTAATGCGTTAATCTGAATTCGTTTCATTTGATTCCTAACATGTAAACTTAACACTGGATACATATTCATTCAAAGACATTAGCAACAATCCAACACAAAACACAAATACTTAGATTTATTCCGTACACCCGGGATTGACAACCCCCAGAAAAACTTCCAATTGCAGATATTTATACCATCCCTAGATTTTCCTAATGTCAGGATGAAAGGTTAGTTAATGAATATATTTTTGATATTCTTCATAGCTCCATTCCCCACATGAAATTCGCTTGTATAAGATTTAATGGACATTTTCAGTTTTCACATTTGTACTCTCTTCTGTAATTCTAGCTATTCTCGGCGCGTATTTCGTGAAAACATGAAGTAAGGCATGGCCACAAGTCTTTTAATGATTGTTCTTTTCCAGACTTTTCTACAAGATAAAGGATGCTTTAATACATTATGATTCTTTTTCATTATGACGTTAACATATCTTCCCAACGACCATGTTCGCATACTCAATTCCCCTATACTATCTCCCGACAGACTGAAACAGTGGCATGACTTTATAATTTTATATTTCGCACAGAGAACGTATACGAATAATTTTGACTATTAGAGGACATCTATTTCTT